TCCTTGGTCTTTCTCTTTTGTATACATTATTATTTTAATTTTTTACTAAGTCCCACTTATATAATGCAACTCCCCTACACGTACACATCTACGCACATCATCTGTGTACCGGCTTGTTGACGCTAAGAACGTTTTCCCGTGATGGTCATCAAGTTCGAAGAGAGTACCGTATTTCCACGAATATAAGCCACACCTGTTTACTTACACTAAAATTCAAGGGTGAAAAGGGGGATACGACATACAATCAAGCATGCCTTACTATGTACTGACGTGAATGTATCCAAACTGGCTCAAGCCTGAAAACAGGGGTACGACTTACAATCATGTGCGACTTATAATCAGGGAAATACCGGGTATATCACTGAGTGGCCAGCAGCAAATACCAGCGCAGCAGACAAGTTTGAAATGCATGAAAACACTTGGTGCGCCCGATGCCGTGCACAGAAAACCATGGCCAAACATTCTCCTTTACCTGGGAGGCATTGGCAAGCGATGGCAAGGCTGAAAAGCAGCAACGTGGCCACGACGTTCATCTTGCCCAGCGCCCCCATGCCGTATTGCACGCACACGCGCTGCGCGCGACACGGTTTCGCGTGCACACACGCACGGAGCAGCGGAGCGGAGATTCCGTGGCCCGCAGCTCGCTGAACCAGTCGATGCACAATCCCAGTACCCTGCAGGGAAGAAACAGGTGGAAGCAAAGTCCAGACAATAGAACCTTTTCGCACCTTCATCCTTCTGACAAACACAAGCCGAACGACTTTACGAAGATCCGCTAAAGGGAGTGGGAGCAATCGAAAATCCACTCCAGTGTTCCAATCCTGAGGAAAGTACATGAGTCATGTATAAGCACTGTAGTGTTGAGTAGCGATGTCATAGAGCACTGTGTTGAATTACAGTCAGACCTCGCTTAACCGCACACATCCGTTTTCCACAAAAGTATACGGATAGGCGAGGGAACTGGATAACCGAACACGCATACCGTATTTCCGCAAATAAAAGGCCGTCCTCCTATACAAGGCCGAGGCAGGGGCGATTGAAAAAAATAAAAGACCGTCTCCGATTAGAAGACCGGGCCTACTAAATGAGTCTTTGTTCTTGTGTTAAAATAGAAGACCGTGCTCAAACTGTGGGAAAAAATAAAAGACCGTGCTCAAACTGTGTGAAGAAAATTGAAGAACGGGGGTAAAACTGTGTGGCGAGAAATAGAAGACCGGGGTCAAACTCTTAACTGGGTTGAAAGAATAAAAGACCGTCCTCGAATACAAGACCGTCCTCGATTATAAGGCCGGGTTAGGACGAGGTTGAAAAAATAGTAGACCGGCCTACTATTTGTGGAAATACGGTACTGCACGTATTCACGGCATATGCTGTAAATCGTTAACCAATGATTTCCTTCCGGATGGCGAGAGGACCGGATAAGCGAGGTCTGACTGTACTACCGCCCCACATCTTTCTATCTTTTAATTTTTTTCTCCTCAGCTTCTTCTTCTTCATAAGCTGTTGACGGAGAATCCCTCGGTTTAGGCTCTCTAAGGCCTTTGGAGAATCCATAAATACGAATACAAGTACAAATGTTGTTGAAGAGACGTGTGCAATGGCGGCAGGTCCTTAAATAGCCGGGGCCGGGGAGGCATGTCCGACTAGCATTTACAGTGCTACAGGAAAAAAACATGGTGAGCTAAAAGTTGTGGATGATCTGTCTTGTGTAAAGACGTGGAATGGCAGCATTGTGGTGATGCTCACTACAAACATGGCACGATCGGTGCAATGATGCGCTACAGTCAGATTTATTATTCTTATTATCAGCCTTTTCGCGTTGACATCGCCAAGCAAGCTTGGCTAGTCTTCACTTAGACCTAATGGAATGAAGAATGAGGAACGAGCGGGGTCAATGAGCTGCTAATACGCATGCAACAGCAGAACAGGAAGAAAAAAAAACAAAGGAAAAAATTATTTCCAAACAGTCAATCAGATTTAGCGAGCACATACACAGGTGGACAGGTATACTGGACCGGCATTGAAATTTAGCACTTCCATTCTGAAGTAACACAGCGGCCTGCCAGTAGTTGTACTGGACGGGCATTGCAGAAGGCACTTAAAAAAACTAGTTGATTCCTAAAGTAACAGTATTGCCTGAATGAGTTATGCAGGACTGGCACTGATGATGGCAAGAGAACTTAATACTCGTTTTTTTTAACTAACACTATCGCCTGATAATTCTATTGGACTGGCAATGTCTGGCATTGCAGAAGGCATTTAAAACTTGCGCTTTTATTAAAGAGTGAATAGCAACTAAAGAGAGCGGTTGTCAGTTGACAAACCCGCTTTTATTTGCTTTTATTAAAAACTTAATAAAAAGTACAAAATATCGCCGTGTAGTTCTACAGGACTGGCATTGCAGAAGGCACTTAACACTTGTATCTTAAAATAACACCACCGCCCGATGGCAATAATTATACTGGACTGGCATCGCAGAAGGAGCCTAATACTATGTATTCAAGAGTACCACTTCTGTGGAGTGTCAAGTCAAGGTTCAGCGAGACGAACAGCGTAAACTCATGCATGGAGTCAGCCAACTCAGTTCTGAGAGATTTTGTCACAGTCGAATTGGTTATATTTGTTACACAGAAAACCTACATCGTCACCCAAGCATATGGCCTTTTTGCTGCAAATCCAAATATTCGGCCAGAAGTCATCATCCGTGACCTTGCTTTAAGTCATCATCACCTTGCTTTAAGTCATCATCACCATGCGCACCACAGATAGTAGAGAAATGGCGGTAAACACGGTACGATTTGCGCTATGTGGGCAGCTGAGGCGCGTACGAGTCACCGCCTTTTCTCCAGATGTGTGTGTTTCAGCACCATTTCTCCGGCTGCCTACATGTGGCTCATAGAATGAAGTGTGGTGTATTTACTGCCATATTGCCAGGTGTGTATTATATATACCACCATATCAATCAACCTAACTCGTAGTGCGAAGAAAACTGCCTGTGTAGTCTGATGGTCTTGATCATGCACAGCCAAGGTAAGCAGTCGCAGCTCTCAGTCCATGTACCGTTGTGCCCGCTGAAATCCGGCCAAAAGTGTAAGGCTGGCGCCCTGGACCAGTTCCGATCACATCGTTGTACGTGTGCATGTGCACGTCCAGCCGCATTCGTTCCACTTCCAGGGCCGTCAAGGGCCGTGGAAGTTGAGGGCGCCGCCTTTGCACAGTGGGTCGGATTTCAGTGAGCGCAACTGTACAGTACTCACAGGACCTTCACTGATGCCGGAGATCTGCATGATCCAAACAGCTGCATGCAGGAATTGATCACCCACACTGCCAAGAGGTCTGGAGGACATTTATTGCGAGCGACTCGACAGCAGCCAGTAACAAGGACAATAACGCCGGGAATTGTACGTGGAGGTGGTGGTGGTCGTGGTGAGCGTGGTGACGCATACAGCAGGCCGCGGTCATGTAAGGAGCAGTGGACAAAATGGCCAGCCTAATTTTTTTTATAATACTTGATGATTTTTGGACATTTCGATAATGAAACCCCCGTATAGTACAAGACCTTACGGGAACTTTCCAGACTTCAAGTGCTCGTACAATGGCGCAAGTAAACGCTGGATTCGCCTATTGCAGAGGTCAACTCCGTCCGTGATGCGGGCGCTTGCAGACCCAGGAGTTCGTCCGACTGTCACTGCTCGCCTTGCCATTAGGTTTCGGCGAGTATCTATATTTACAAAGTTCGCGGGATCGCGCAATGCAAACGATCCCTGACATTTCCTCTCTAATCACTGGCGACCCTTATCGAGCTTCATCTACACGCCTATTCAAGCAATTTCTCACCTTCTTCTTGTTTGCCCGTTTCAAAAGCGATGAAAATGGAACTATGCAGAGAAAGATTCTCGATCGAGCTGTCCAAGGTCCGAAGAATTTCCCCCCTTCGGCACGAAACCGCTCTCCGATGTGCACAGGGAGCTTGGATTCTAAGACTTAGCAACCATCTTCTCTACACGCAGTCTTGCAACACCATAAGTTATCTCACCGACTCCTAGAATTTCTGCACAAGTGGCCGCTTGAAGACCCTTCCACGCCCTCGATGCGTTTCGCTTCTTCCTGACTTCGACGGCGAAGAAGACAGTGGAAGATTTGCACATGTCCCGATGACTAAGGTCGACCGCACCATATATAGCAGCTCACCGGTACACAGTCTGATGTTGAGGAACCTTTTACGTCTCTATCATCCATTTACTGCATTTTAGCGCATGCACAATGCCTGGGCACGTGGCCGTGGGAGCTGTTGTCAGGGAGTAGTAAAAATACTACTCCTTGATCATAACAAGAACACGCACGTGTACGTGTGTGCTTTTTGTGCAGTCATGCATGCGCCAGAAAGAGAACAGCGCGTGAGAATCTGGAGAAGAAGAGGACGACGTTCCTGAGTTTTCTTGGCCAAGCATTTTGATTTTTACATGCGTGTGATCTAGAGTAGAGGAACCAACATCCAGCAGCAATGGAGCGGTGTCCGACAACATCGTCAGCTGTCGCGAGGAGGCGTCTGTGTCGTTGCTGATTTATTCTGCTGAGCTTGCCACCAGCTCTTGCTCACTGACGACTTCCACGCTGATTCAGGTAGGGAATACAAAAATTATCGACTTCGAATTCTGTCTACGGTACCTCGGTACCTCTCTTGTTACGGTGTGGCGTTCCACGATGATAAAATGAACAGTAGTGCAATAGGGAGGCATTCTATTGGATCCCGTGCTCCTGTTATGCCGGTATGCGTGGCCGGTCTGGTTCGCGCCGTACCCGGTACTGTACTCAGGAGAAACAAGTGTGCATCAATGCCTGACCCACGTCGTCACGAAACACCTACACGAGCGAGTGAATGGGCGAAATGGTAAGTAGTTTCGCCCGTAAGGCTCTCACCTGTAAAGATTTGAGGCCTAAATATCGATATTAGCCGCATATCGAGCCCGGCAGACTCTCCAACCTCCTGGCCACCCTAAATGTGGACACCCTCTACAGCCGTTCAAAGCCGTTCTATAATTTTATTTCATTTTCACTGAAAAGATCTGAACGCCCCCGGAGTGATTCATGTGGCCATGAAGCTTCCACGGCAGCCAAAACATGTGTTATCATTGATTCAATGTCCACAACAGTAGGACAATAGTTTACTGTATTGTTGGATTATTTGAAATTCAATATCCTCAGAACTAAACGACACAAAGCCGTCTACACCATGGAGTAGTAAAATACCGGTATTTTACTACTCTTTGGTCTACACAGTGCAAGCGGTGAACGCGATCAGCGGTGCGAGTGCAGTGGTCAACGGATGACGGGTACTCGTACCGACTGCCTCGTCTCATCGGCGTGAGCTAAATGTCGGATGCGTGCGCACATCGTCTATCTACACTGTACCCCGCGTGGATCGGTCGTGATCCGGTATCCGAGTCGAGACGTGAAACGTGGGACGGAAAGTGTGGATATTTCTTGAAATCGGGACGAAATGCGTCCGGATGAAGACCACGGCAGGTTGCAGGACATTTTTCTCAAATCGGGACTGTCCAGACGAGGCCCGGCACGTTTGGACAGTGTCGATGGCAGTGCTCTTTTCCTGGTTGTTCGAAACCCAACCACACAGATTTTGATAAATTATTTCTTTTCATGACAATTGAAGTCCAGTGGGTGTTTGTGATTTTTCACTATTGGCTGCTCTTTGGGAAATCGTTTATTTCACTATGCCTGTGCAATTGGCGAAGTCAAATAAAAATCAACAACAACAACAACATCTGTTATTGGCAATGGTGCCATCGTGAGAATAAAGAATTCAAATTCAAAAACAACATTCTACCTCTTGTCGTCTCTTCCGTATGTACGTCCTCACGTTGCTCAGCACATCCATAGCCCGCTTGTGCCCAGCCTACGTGATAAGCTCTTTATTATCATTGCTACAGTCCATTTCAAAACTATAGATGCGTAGAGTTTTTGAAATATTTCAAATTTGGCTGGAACTTTTTGAGAATAGTTTTCGGAATATTGCTCAGGTCCGCTCCACAATTACTCTCATATAGTTTCTAAACGATTGGATAACAGACGCCCAATTTGGAAAAATTTATGCACAAAGTGATCACAGATTTTATGTGGTATAGATGCTGGCATAACGGTTTTTGTCAACAGGGTACGCGTCTATAGTTTTGAAATGGACTGTACTAATCCAGCAAGCAGCTAAACTTTGATTTCGCTTTACTAGTATCCGATCCACCATGCCTGTATTTTTTTCTTCTCTTATTGGCCAGAGGCCATCGTGAGAATAACAGATTTCAACAACATGACACACTAGCTATAGCTATGACATGGCACTACTTGTAGGTTGGTACAGTGAGTATCGCCTATAGCGTTGGTGTTCGATTTGAGCATTTTATCGCTATATTTAAAGCGTTATATTACTATGACCGACACTGCATGCAATGTATGCGAGTGGGGTGTCGAATGACTCAGGGCGCCGTGCACATACGCACTGCATAGCTGGCTACAGCTCATGACACACAACATCAGCATTTCGTCACGATGGAGGCCTATTTGGCAACTTGTCCAAGGAGAACTCACCAAACAACACTGGACAAGTTCTTCACGAAGAAGCAACACCCTGTTCTCCTCTGACACCACTTGATTTTACTATGACCGATGCAAAAGTATTGTTTTTTAAGCACTCGCAGACTCCATTGCAGCCACTCACACATTACAGGGTACCTCACTTACAAAAGTATTGTATTTAAATAAAGGTCTTTTGAAATATGAATTTGATCACTAAAGGCGATACTGTAAAAGCCATTATTCTAACGAGGCGCATATATAACGATTTCCTAAAATGGACCAGTTTACGTGTACCAAAGGTAACGATTCTCACTCATTCTCAACGCTCAATAGCAACAATATGTATCGATTTCTGTCTAACGTTTTCTATTTTAACGACAGATTTCTCCTCGTTAATTCGTTAGAGTTAGCACTAAGTCTTCGTTATACTATATAAGGCTTTCACAGTATATTAGTATGGACGATTATTACTATACGCGATAACTGTGTATACTTAGTTATGGCAAATGAAAATGAATTTGAGAAATTGATCACTATAGCCGGTATCAAGAGTACATAACCCCCCAGAGTGTGCAACGCCTGATCCAGCTCTGCATAGGGTCTTGGTCGAGCGGAATCGGATCTTTGCGTCATAATACCGTACACATCTGAGGGGAACCCGGGGAGTCGCGGGTACTCTTGGATCGAAAACAATGGTGCCCTGCCTCGAGACCGGCCTTGCGCTGGTGTGGAGTGTACGCATGACATCAGAAGATCCGATTCCGCTCGACCAAGACCCTATGCAGAGCTGGATCGGCGTTGCACACTCTGGGGGGTTATGTACTCTTGCCGGTATGTTGCTATAGCCGCCAACCTTATATGCGATAATGACTGTACATTCTTTCCGTCCCCTTCCCTGTGCTGTGATTAATTTTATACATTTGCAGCTCAAAACGTGACGTCGGATTCCTGAGCTATGACGTCGTCCATACCGGTCGCCGGCAGCTGGAACAGTGGGGCGAATCCCACCACCAACGGCGCTGGCGGTGCGTCTTGCAACGGAGGACTGACGGGCAAGTACGACGGCGGCGGCGGCGGAGACGCGGAGTCGTACGTTTCCGCGGGCCTGTTGTCGGCGAGCAGTCCCGACCGCCTGGCGCCCGCCTGCTGCTGCCCGCTGGCCGTCGCCATTCCGCTCTACTCGCGCGCTGCAGCGCCCGCATTCCTGGCCAGCAATCCGTTCCTGCACCGCGGCTATCGCGTGTCTCTCTCCTACAGGGACTGCGTGAGAAGGTAACGCACATCTACAGTTAAAAAAAATTAAAAAAATTACGGTTTGCTCGCGACTCAGTTTAGAGTACGGTAACTTTAAACTGAGTTTTCAGAATCCGTAGGAACGCCACCACCCTGCGAAGATCAAATGTACAGAATTTAAATTTCACGGTTCACTGTAGACTCACACGGACTGAATTGTCAGCATCCGTAGGAACGCCACCACCCTGCGGAGATCTAAAGCGCAGATGCAGCTCATCAAGCGGCGGGAGGTGAGTAGATCCGCCCACCAGCAAAGTGGCCGAAGACCGAATACCCCATTCGCTGCATCCACGTACTGTAAACGCAGACATTTTCGGTTGTGTAATATCTTCGGTATTCTCCAAAATCGGCGGTTCGGCGGAGGGAAACTTTCGGTAAAGCCCGTTTTCCAGGTAAAGGTACTACATGTAACACTGCATGTATACAGTACGGGTAGTACCGGAATTTTCGGTGCGTTCTATTTTCGGTAAAAAAATTGTCGGCACCGAAGTTACTGAAAATAAAACACCACCGAAAATTTCTGCTTCTACAGTACAGTAGAAGTACCCTAAACACCTCCACTGCAAAATACCAACTTGTACTGTATGGACTCGGATGGAGAGCCAAGGATAAATTTATAGAAAAGAAAAAGGACCAAGGACAGCGTAACTTGTAGTTCCTTTGGTCCTTTTTCTTTTGTATAAATTGTTGTACTGTAGCGGACATTGAAGTCCGTTGAGGAATCACGGGGCGCTGGCCCTGCAGCCGCGGGCACTGCTGGATCACGTTTGCAGTGTGCGCGTGAGCCACAGTGCATGTAGTAAGGGCGCCGGCCCCTGTCAGCCCATCAGATTTCAATATCCACGACAGTACGTCCCTTGGTGGCACGCTACGCTGTAGCTTGGCCGTGTGTGTGCGTACGCCACGTGCAGAGAGCGTATTCGATGGGCTTCTAGTTGTCGGAACTGCGCGAACACGCGACCGAATGCGGTCTCGCGTGTGTTGAAATATCGCGATGTGTGTGTGTGTGTTTTTGCTCTGGGTTGCCGCGTTTCTGTGCATGCGCTTGCTTCGCACGCTGTAGTATGGCTGTGGGCACGATGCTTAGCCATACCACTTGCGGTATACAGTGAAACCTGTCTAAGACGACCGCTCAAGGGACCTTCGGAACGTGGTCTTAAACTCTTTGTAACCAGGTGGTCTCCCTATTCAGGGTCCTTTCGCTGGAAATAGCATGCCTTGGGTATGGCTGCAGTGGTCTTCTAGGACAGGTGGTCGCCATCCCGAGTGGTCGCCTTGACAAGTTTTACTGTACTCATCTTTGTGAAGACTTTTCCAAGACACCCACGATTGAGAAAATCGAAAGAGAAATTAGATTTCCAAGTTGTCATGGAAGATGCGTTGTCGTATGTTGGTGGCCGGCACATGTGTCATTTATCTTTATTTCTCTCCATTTCTTCTTTACTGTGTGCGTGTCTGCGTTTGCGCGTGCGCACGCGTGTGTGTGTGTGTGTGTGTGTGTCTGTGTGTGTGTATATGTGTGCCCGCACGTGTCCGCGCTCGCGTGCATTCTTGCGTGTATTGCGTTTTGCAGCATGTTTGTGTGGACAAACGAAACGTTGAACATCTGGACTCATCTTCTCGGCTTTCTCTATTTTGCTGGTCACCTGGTGTACTGCAATGCGTACGTGCTTCCGGCTCAACCAGGAACAACATTCTATGACCATGTTGTCATCTCGGCTTTTCTGATGTGCGCCATGGTACGGATGTGTCTGACTGGACCATTTTGCCTGTGTGTGTGTGTGTGTGTGTGTGTGTGTGTGTGTGTGTGTGTGTGTGTGTGTGTGCGTGTGTGTGTGTACGCGAGCGCCCATGTGTGGTTGTGGTGGTGGTGTGTCTGTCTGTCTGTCTGTCTGTCCGTCTTGTCTGGTCTTGTAGATCACCATGCACTTTTCAGTTTGCAGCTCTTTTCGATCTGTGCTTTTGACATCTGCATTTCTGTCCTTGACGTTCGCTCTTCACACACCCGAACAAATTGTAAGCATCTGTACATCTGTCCGTCTGTACGTCTGTACGCCTGTCTGTACATCCGTCCGTCTGTTCTTGCAGACCACCATGCTCTTATCGGCGCTGTACCACACGTTTGGATGCCACTCGGAGGCCGTGTTTCGATTCTGGCTGAGGCTGGACCTGTGCGGCATCATGCTCAGCACCTGGGCCACCTACTTCGTCGGCTTCTTCTACGGCTTCTACTGCTTTGCGGTGAGCGAATCCCGTGTGTGTGTGTGTGATCGCCGTGTTGTTCTCGTGCGTGTCGGCGGCGCAGAAGTGCTGTCCGTGCTGCGTGCTGTGCGCGACGCCGTCACAGCCGCTTCCTGTCGTCTGTGCAGTTGTTTTGTTTTGTTTTCTTCTTCTAACAAGGACAATAACATACCTGCCATGTTGGTTCACATACCTTCACCTTATAAGGGCTTATAAGTTATAAGTGAACTCGATCCTGCGACACATGGACACACGGAGACAGTCGTTCTTCTTCTCTCGTTCTTTTTCCTCGTCTTCCTTTCAGATTTGGCAAACGGTATACTGTGGTATGTTGATTCTGCTCACGCCCGCAATTGCCGCGTTTGTCCTGCGCCCAAGCTTTCTGGCAGACAAACGACACCGCGCTCGCACCTGCGCTTTTGCGCTCGTGATATTTATCAGCATCCTGCCGTTGTCTCACTGGATCCTGTTGAACGATGGCTTCAGTCATCCGGACGTGCAGGTAAGTGTGTGCCTGCAGTGCTGATCTGCCCGTGGGACTGTGTGTCGGTCTGTGTGTTTGTCTGTCTGTGTGTCTGTCTGTGTGTCTGTCCATCTGTCTGTGTCTTCTATGAATCCCTTGGCTGAACCTGTGCTGATGTGTCATCGTGTGGATATCAAGCTTTTGCCGAACTGTCTGTCTGTCTGTCTGTCCACCTGTCTGTCCACCCTTCTGTGTGTCTGTGTGTCTGTCTTTTATGAATCCCTTGGCTGAACCTGTGCCGGTGTGTCCTTGTGTATATCAAGCTTTTGCCGAACTGTCTGTCTGTCTGTACGTGGGTCTGTCTGTCTGTTTGTCTGTCTGTCTGTCTGTCTGTCTGTCTTTGGATCTGTTTGTGGATCTGTCTGTCTTCCTGTCTGTCTGTCTGTCTGTTTGTCTGTCAGTCTGTCTTTGGATCTGTCTGTTTTTGGATGCGTCTGCCTGTCTGTCTGTCTGTCCGTTCATCTCTCTTTCTTACTACTCCGGCGCACAGCTCTTTGTCCAGGACGTGGTGATTCAGTGGCTGATTCTTGGTGCTGGTGTGACGGTGTTCGCTTTCAAGATCCCAGAGAAACTTTGGCCAGGTAAGGGAATAACTGTAAGCTTGTACATATCCTCTAGCTGCGGACAGCGTGCTGTTTCGGCCTTTGTGGCCTCATCAGCACAGCAGAGAGAAAATGAGGCCGAACCTGGTAGCAATGAAAAAATCTGCGTAATGCAAACAGCAAAGGCACTACCCTACCCCACACGAGATCGCTCAACTACTACAAGAGCAGGAGCGACAAACTCAATGTGCGCCGGCTTCTACATACTGTATTTTCACAAATTTTCGGTGTACTTTTATTTTCTGTACTTTCGGTGCATCTGTGTGTCATACCTAAAATTTCACTACACCGAAAAAAACACTAACACACATAATCCAATAGGGAACTGCTTCTCTGTACCGAAATTTCTGTTCACCTAACCTGGCCTTTTGCCCTCATACCGAAAATATTGAGCACCGAAAATAAATTTAATTTCTGAAATTAGAGTATACGTTTGTACTGCAGTTCCTGTACAATCCAGCATCATTAATTTTGTGCTACGGAAAATCTGCTGGATTAGGGATGGTGCTGAACTGACAAATCTGATTTCCTGCTGCGATTCACGTGAAAGAGGACAGTTTGTTTGATAATGAAAATAATGCTGTTTTTTAAAGGGCGGTGGCGTTCCTACGGATGCGGAATGCTCAGTCTAACCGAGTAAAACGCGAAATGTGAAAAAAACTTAAGAACTCAGATGGTGAGCCAAGGAAAAAAATTGTAACACGGAAATCGTGGGCACCATCTGGCTTAGTTGGTGGACTCAATCGCATAACTCGTGCCCACAATTTCCGTGAATTTTTTTAATATTTTTTTAATAAAGTGTAAAAGAGAAGTATCCGAGTTAAAATTTTATAAATTGGTGCTGGTTTATGGAGTGCTGGATTAAATAGGGACGACTGCGCATTGCTGCTATGCACATCTGCAGTGTCGTAGAATGCAAAAAGTCAAGGAGTACTTGAGACCCAGAGTGTGCAGCTTAAGACCTTTTCTGCATGGGTGTCTGTCACGGCGAAATTCCGGGATTACATTATATTTGGTGCAGATCTGAGGCGGGAAGAGGCATGGTGCGTACAACTGAGCTGCAGTTGTGCGGAAAGAGACCATGCTTGAATCCTGCTTGTGCGCACTACACAACTAGAATGATGTAATCCCGGAATTTCGCCGTAACAGCAACCCATCAGTGCTGCACGCTCTGGGTTTCATGGACTCTTGATTCCATGGCTTATCTGTTCCGAAAGGGCCGTCGGATGATCTTATACATGGGCATCGCACATGCGCTATAAGTCTACAAATGTTCGGCCCATTCAAATTTCGGCCTCCCAGGGCTAAAACCCATTTCGGCCGCATCAAATTTTCGGTCTGTACTGCTGCTGCCTGTATACACTGTCACCCTGAGGACCTTGCAAGACAACGTTTCGGCCGCAACAAATTTTCGGCCAACTACGGTCAGGATGAAAATAGCCGAAAATATAAAATTTGCGCCGAAAATTTTCTTGACTTACTGTGCCCTCATGGGAAACAGAAAGAAAAGCATTTTCAGTATAAACCCGTGGCTCATCTGTTTCCAAAGGGCCATCGAATGAGCTTACGTATGGGCATGTGCTGATACAGTGGATCTCTGATGAGACGTACAGCGAAACCTGTAACTAAAGACCACCGTGACTAGCGACCAGCCTGGTGCTACAGACCACGCCGCCAGGCACGGACGGTCTCACATTCATATAATGGTTGTGCGGTGCGAACCTCTAACTAAGGACCACCTGCCACTAAAGACCGCTTTCTCCAGCCCCAAGGGGTGGGTGGTCGTTAGTCACAGGTTTTACTGTACCGGGAAAGGCGTGGTTAGCATCCGAGGGGATTTCTCACCCGCACGTATATTGAGCAAGATATACAATGAGCAAAGCATGGAAAGCACTGCCACTGCATCTGTGTGCGTTTAGGCTCCAAAGAAGGAAATGAGCTGCAGTCAACCTGGTGAATGACAACACCGGGTGTAAAAACAATTCGCTAATAACAAACCAATCTTCCGACCTAGTTGTTCTTTGACTGCATGCATTCAACGCCTCACGCGTACCCGCAACTCACCTTTCTCGTGCACGACCGAGGGGCGTTATTCGCAAGGCTGACTGCAAACCGAATAATGGTAAGAATAATAGTTACGGTTCGCATGTCACTCATGGAAGGATCCATGGGCTTAACGCGTCTGTCAATGAAATCTGGGCAGAAGAGCCAACAAAAAGCATCTCAATGTTGTTAGAACGTATCGCTGCAGACCAAATCCAGTAGAGTAAAAGCTGTCAAGGCGACCTCTCTGATAAGGCGACCACCTGTCCTAGAAGACCGCTACCACTAGGACCAAGGGCCGTTGTTTCCAGGCGAATGACCCTGGATTAGGAGGCCACCTGGTAACAGAGACCACCTGGTAACGGAGACCACCTGGTAACAGAGACCACGGTTTGAAGGTCCCTTGAGCGGTCGTCTTAGACAGGCTTCACTGTACTGTGCTCTACACTGAAACGTTTGGCGTCGGTTTCGGTTCGCGATTTGCAAACGCGGACGAATTTGCACGAGATGTGTGCGATTGCGCCGGCTTGCTGTGGCATGGCCCGCTGTGATCAACACAGCTACGAGCGACGGGAGAACGTCACATCGCCACACCGTGGACTTCTTTGCCCCAGCTTGAATGCTGTGCTCGAATTGATTCCAGCAATGTCGATGGCATTGCAGAATACCTAGACTGGCCATCAAGGACTTGCAGCCTTTGTCGAACAGACGCGGCACATCTGACGCACCGTTTCCAGGAGAAACCGTGGACTTCTTCGCCAACTTGAATGCTGTGTTTGAATTCTATTCCAGCAATGTCGATGGCACTGCCGAGTACTTGGACTGGCCACGGCGGACTTGTAGCCTTTGTTTGGATGGAGATGACTCGTCTGGTCGCACCGATCAGCGCCACCTTGTAGCTGTCGAAGAGCACGACCTCTGGTTTAGCCACGTCACCCTGGACCAATCCACCCTGGACCAATCCACCCTGGACCAATCCACCCTGGACCAATCCACCCTGGACCAATCCACCCTGGACCTATCCATCCTGGACCAATCCATCCTGGACCAATCCACCCTGGAGTTTGTGAAGACTGGAGAAGACACTTACCACCTTGTTGTCCTTGACAGCATGCGATGTCATAGCTGCCTTCAAGTCATCGTCGTAGGCTTGAAGCGCCGTGCTTTCTTGCTTTCCGTTTCTTGTTTGTGAACTCGGGCGGTAGTTCTCGTCCGCTACCCCTCGCCGTTCCCGCTAGTGTTGTCTTCTGCTCAAGAAACTCTCCACTGAGCCGGTTGCTGGTGAAGAAGTTGTCCGTTGTCATATCGTACCCGTTCTTCAAGAATGGCTCCATCAGAAACTCTCCACTGAGCCGGGTGCTGGTGAAGAAGTTGTCCGTTGTCATATCGTACCCGTTCTTCAAGAATGGCTCCATCAGAAACTCTCCACTGAACCGGGTGCTGGTGAAGAAGTTGTCCGTTGTCATATCGTACCCGTTCTTCAAGAATGGCTTCATCAGAAACTGTCCACTGAGCCGGGTACTGGTGAAGAAGTTGTCCGTTGTCATATCGTACCCATTTCTTCAAGAATGGCTTCATCAGAAACTGTCCACTGAGCCGGGTGCTGGTGAAGAAGTTGTCCGTTGTCACAGTGTGCCCTTTCTTCAAGAATGGCTCCATCAGCTTCAGAACAACATACTCTCCCAGCTGCACACCTCCACCGCTATCATCAAAGTGCTTCCCAGGGTATAGGCGGGTGCTGAGAACATATGAGAACTTTGCGTCGACCAGAACCCAGAGTTTCGCTCCAAATGTTATGTTATGTTACCTTTATTTTACTTCACCATAGGTACAGGCATTGCTGCCTTCTTGCTGTGGATCATAAATGATGCCACAGCTCCTAGGCTATGATGAAAAATATAATAGTATGATAGATTAATATGATAAGATGTCATGACCGTCAGCAGCAGCCAAACTTGACCAGAATCCAGAATTTCACTCCTAACTTTGACAAAAACCCAGAATTTTACTCCAAACTTCGATCAGAACCCGGAATTCACTCCAAACTTCGGCCAGAACCTTGCATTTCCTTCCACACTTTCCAGGTTTGTGGGTGGGTGCGTGGGTACTTGTGTGCATGTGTGCGTTTGCCCTTATTTTAGCAGTATGAATGAATATTGAATGGCTAGACTGTAGTCTAGTCTTCAATGGTTGTGGCTCTTGTGTGAGTTTTATTTATTTATTTACTGTCTGCACTCCATGGCATATAATGAAAATAGCCAATACAAGGAAGTGAGGGTGACTCCAACCATGGACTGAGGGCAAACATGCAAGTTAAAGAGAAAATAGAAGAAAAAATAAATAAATAAAAAAAAAAGTAAAGGAGTTGGTGGCAGTGGTGTTGGTGAACGTCTTGGTGCTCAGTTAGTGTTGGTGAACGTCTCGTGCCTGTCGCTGCGGTGATCGTGTTGGTGGTGGTGATCATGGTGGCACAGCTGGTTCTGGCGGTGGTGGTGATGGTGGTGGTGGTGGTGTTGTCAGTGGAGCGGTGGAGTGGTTGAGGTGCTGTGTCTTGTGATGGTGACTGCGCTGTAGATGCTGTTGCCTGTTGGTGGTGTTTGTGGTGAAATGAGTGTAGTAGTTCTGGTGGTGGTGGTGGTGTTGCAGGTAGACTTGTGGCAGGCCTGTTCCAGGTGGTGGAATATGCGGTGAAGTGAGGCTGGTAGTACTGGCGGTGGATTTGTATTGGAGTGGTGACGTTGCTGTTCCTGGTGGTGGTATATGCGGTGAAGTAAGAATGGCAGTTCTGCTGGTGGTGTTGCAGTTGGAGTGGTATAGACAGTGGAGTGGTTGCTGACTGTGACGATGGAGAGCAAAGACAGTTTTGTTCTGCTTCGTAATGCAGACCAGTGAGGGCTGTTGTTGCGGCGGCTTCTGAATCTGTGGCTGTTCTCTTCTGCCCGTGTTGTTGTGCTTGTCACGCTGCAGGTAGTGTTGACTACATCGGTGCCAGCCACCAGCTCTGGCACTGCCTGGTGTTCCTGGCGCTGGCTCACTGGCATCGCACCGGCCTCGTCGTCATGCAGCATCGGCTCGGCGTGCCGTGTAGCGCTGCACTCTCGCCAGGTCTGTTGCCGCCGGCGGCGACGGCGACTGCCAATGGCGCGCTGCTGTCTGCTGTCCAGTAGGCGCGGGAGCTCTAGCCGTGCTCGACTGAGAGTCTTGAGAGGCTGCGATTCCTGCTTGGGTGGTGCTGTGTTGGAGGCTTTATTTACGACCAGAATATTTTAGTACCGTGTGTACTTGAGTGTGTGGTAAGTTACACGTTAGACTCGGGTGGAAGTTGTGAAGGCGAACGATCATTCGGATGTAGATGTTGGAAGGTCTCTCTCTCTCTCTCTCTCTCTCTCTCTCTCTCTCTCTCTCTCTCTCTCTCTCTCTCTCTCTCTCTCTCTCTCGCGCGCGCGCGCGCGCGCGCGCGCGCTGTTGTATCCTGTGAATATCGTGTTTCGAGCCTGCAAGGTGTGTCAGCTGCTCTTATTTCACCCGTATCGTTTTTGAGCTCTTTTTTTACCTTCCCTTCGAGGGTTGCAAGTTTTTTTATCATAGTATAACTCCTATCAATTTTGTATTGCTCCTTTTTGCGAGCTCTAGTATTACCAATTTTAGTCAGTATTTCTTCTCATTTTTTAATTCATAGCTGATATCGACATACTACCTTGTCTGAACAAAATAAATATCAAAGGCCAGAGTGACATTTTATTTTTATTACCCCCCCCCCCCGCCCCCCCCCCCCCTCCCCGCTTTTGCAGAGAATATTTAACTATCAATATTACGGTGCTGTGTGTGCGTGTATGTGTGCTTGTTATGCAAGGTCACAAAAAGAGCGATTTCTTGATTTTTAGTAGCACTCGTTTTTATCCTGAGGCAATCCACTTTTTCCATTGTTTATACCGAGATTATTTGCGCAAGTTCTTATAACATCATAACATCTGTCCACGAACGAATTTCCTCGCCAGGGTATTGTGACTTTGGGCCAAGGGTGCAGTGTGCCATGGAGTGGTGGAGTGTTTCAAGTTATTTCGTTGCACTGATAACTCATGCTGCTTTGTTGATCTCCAATGTTGAGTGACAAAAAGGGATGTGCCCATGACGTTTACCGGTAGTTTTTGGCAGTTTTGCTTACTTTTTTCAGGTATGCTCAACCTCGCGCATAACGATTCTCATTTGGGCATGCGAAAAGTGCTGCTATTCGAGAGTTGTCATTGTTCACGACGTTGAAAGTTACTCCAGTGTCTGTTCCAGAGCCGGGTCAACGACCCGGTTGGGGGGGGGGGGGGGTACTTGCACTCGTTTGGAAAAAGAACACCGGGTCACTTGTGACCAGGGTGGCATCAGTGAGCCCTAAAATATCTACAACTCCTTGACCATAGGCTGATGTACATGCGGTACATGCAGTAGCCGCACTTGAACGTACCCGGCTCTGACCCGGCTCTGACCCGGTTGCCATGGTTGTGCCAGGTACTCGTGTACTAGTACCCGGTTGGTTTGAAATCCTAGAGCAGACACTGCATACATGTATGCAGGCAAATGGCTGATACTGTAAGACATGTACAGTAGGTATCGGTTATAGCGTGGGTGTTTGAAAAGCGACTTTCTATTCTTATTTCCGATATTTCTTACACACGATAAATCAAGTGTGGCATATCATATCCATGTGCGCATGGGCAGGAAGATCATCGTACGTGCAACGCAGTACTTCTGTGCATGTGGCTGGTCATAGTCCCATAGGCTTACCATGTGGCTATGCAACATGAGTTACATGACCACAACAGTTGAATCTGCAGCACTACGACGCAACAAGAGTCAGATCAGAACGGAAATGGACAGATGTAATTACTACAGGTGATACACTTTGTACTAATCTGGCATGTTTCGCTACACAAAGTCCATTCTTAGGACCGATATATTCTACTATGGGATAAAATTGCTTGTAAGAATAAATGTGCACTTGAAATCCATGTTATGATTATGAAAACATGAGCGTTCATTCTTGTAGGCAGTATATTCTTTTACACGACCACGCTATAACCGATACGCACTGTATATATAACGAGGAAGCAAATCTAATATTTTAACGGATGACATTTCTTCGTTATAATAAGATCCGTTGAGGCCGTACTGCTTCGTATATGCTGTGTGTGGATATGGCAGAATACTGCAAGATCGTTAACATATCTTCTCGTTAACCTATGAATTTTGACAATCGTTAAATAAAGCCTCCAGCCACTGGTCACGTGACCTTCCGCTCCGGGGCCGGGGGCACCGTGTCGGATATCGGAGGAAAGCTTGCAATTACGGACGACCAATGATGTGGGAAAAAATGCAAATCGGTCAACTTTAGACTCTCCAAACCTACAGTGTAAACCTTGTCTGTATGCATTGCACTCGCTACAGGCACAGTGGACATGATCGGCTCCAGCCATCAGCTCTGGCATTGCTTGATGGTGGCGGCACTGTGGCACTCCTACCACGCTACGCTCAAGGCCGTCGCACACTACCAAGGTGCGCCCTGCGGTGCTCGCGCATCGTCCCCGTTGGCGCTGGCAACCCATCCGCTCTGAGCTGCATGCTTGGCCAACGCTGGCCCTGGCCTGCATGACACCCCGTCCGCACTGAACGGCTTGCAACGTCACCGGTTGGCAACCCATCCGCACTGAGCTGCTTGCGTAGCCAACGGTTACGTTAGCGCTGGGCTTTGCACGGGGTCCAACTGTAGCCTACTGGTGCAGTGGTAGCACACACGCCCACGACCAGAGAGCTATGCCGGGATAGTGACCGGTGCAGTCAGAAACAAACCAATGTCCAGAGAAGTGCTATGGAACAGTCAGACCTCGCATAACCGCACACATCCGTTTTTTCGGAACTTTTTCCACACAAATATCTGGATAGGCAAGGGAACCGGACAGTCCAACATACATACTGTATGTATGGATGACATATGCTGTAAATCGGTAACCAGCGATATTCTTCCGGATGACGAGGGATCCGGATAAAAGAGGACCGGATAAGCTATGGACCTGGTAGTATTGGTGATGACCGGTACAGTGAACCGCAGGGCTAGTGCACAAGCCCGTGCCGCGGAAACACCCGTGCAGGTCTGGCAGGCACTTTAACCGGACAGCCAATAGCGCAATGCCATTGAATACCGCTTCAGTGCGATGCGCTCAGTTTGTTCGTGCTGCAAGTTCATCCCGGCGGCACACTTCCCATTCTCTGATCTCTGACGAATCGGGGTAAAAGAAGACTCGTGTACGCTGTCACTATGTCGGGCAGCACAACTCGAGCTCTTCACTGACTGATCAGATTCATTTTTATTAACTAACTACTTGCAACAAGCACATTGTACTTCGTCCCGGGTTACATGTAGTCTTTTACACTGTACATACCATAATATCAGTGTTGAAGAAATATGCTTCAAATAGCCCTGGAGAACTTCACGCTGGCTACGCTAGCCACTGCGCTGATAGCATTGATCTGTGCCCCAGTTGAAGCAATGGCCCGCTTGCCCCCCCCCCCCCCCCTCCCTTCGTCCCATTCCCAGCAATACCCACTCATCCTTGAGGTTTGTTTGTTGTTTGTATTCTTTATTAATTGTAGACGTTGGGTTGCATCTGGGATTATTACCATGGTTGTTGACAATGATTCTTTATTCTCACAATGGCACCATCGCCAATAAGACGGTTACTGATGCTATTGCTGTTACAAGTACCTAGCAAGAAGCTGTACAGGGGTTTCCCACATGTTTTTATTATAACTTTCATATTCTTGGAATTGCAAGTTCAAAGGCAGATACATGCAGATGCGGCCTGATGTGGGAATCTCAGCGAATGAATGATGCATGGAAGATCATGACAGCCGGGAGGAAAAATGAGACGTAATCTTATACAGTCACACTGCTCTGCCCCGTTTTATGTTGATTGCATTTTTAAAAGGAAGCTCATAGAGTCATAATACATGTACTGTGTGAGAATGCCGTATTTTTAGTTTTTCTCTCCCTCTACTCCAACTGCTCTCACACACAACACAATACAGAGACACGATAACACATGCACACTGTGTATGCACATTCAGTGATTCATCATTCAACCATTTTTTTAGTACAACTTACTACAAGGTCTCTTGCACGGGCAAAAAGCAACACAATAATTATCATGATTATGATGGAAGACCCGGGTATTGGTACATGGTACATGTGCAAGTAAGTAAAGCACATTCAACCAGGGAGTCGTAAAATACCGGTATTTTACCACTCCCTGCATTCAACATGGCTCTGACCAGGGAGTAGTACAATACCGGTATTGTACTACTCCCTGGCTCTGACCGCACACCAGAATACTGTAAAGCCGGAAAGACTTAAGTCTAACGACCAAAAAGTTTAAAACGTTTTTGTAATTTTTATATTCTTTTATTCCACGATGGCGTGACGCCAATAAGGACGATTGATAAGTGTGATAGAACTGATACTACTAGCCAGAAACAGCTAGATGGAAATTACCCGGGGAGGCAAGAATTTTAAGCAATTGATCATGAAAAACAAGTGGGGGCAAAAACGTTAGCAGGGGATCGAGGTAGTTTAAAATTAATTACAAGTTCGAGATATCAGAAACCAGGGGGATGCGCGGAGCAGGAACAGGCACTGCTCAAAAGAAGACTGGATGCACTGTTTCGGAAAGAATTTCTACGATGTTGGGTTGTGATGTCGATAGGGAGTGAGTTGTAGAGGGTGAGGGCACTGTTGATGGGGGAATCTCGGTGCCTGTTTGTGTGTGCGTGTCCGATGGAGTAGGTCCTTGTCTGTCGGAGGGTGTATGGTTGGTGTTGGCGTTGTGGTGCAAGATGTGGCTGTTGCAGGTGTGGTGGGGAGGTTTGGTGGTGGATGTCCCATGCTAGCAGGACTTGTTTAACAAGGAGTCGTGAGCTAAGGGTGGGAAGATTTGCGTGATGGAGGAGGGAACTGTGGTGAACTGGTGCAAAGAGGGGAATCCGAAGGCAGATGCGTATAGCGCGGCGTTGAATTCTCTCCAGTGTGTCCCGCTGTTGCTGCGTGGTGTTGGAGAGGGCAAGGCTGCCATATTCGAGAACGGGTCGGATGTAGGCCGTGTATATACTTAGTAATAGGCTGGAAGCGTTCATTGCGCCACGTGTCTTGTGGAGTTGGCGTAGTAGTTTTTTTGGCTTTGTTGGTAGTTTCTATGATGTGTTGGGTCCATCGCATATCGTCTTGGAGTGGAACAGTAGACATCAAGGTACCTACATGTATGTTGGTGGACCTGCTGCAGCAGAGTGGAGTGGAGCGTAATGTGGATGGTGTGTTGGGGTTGGAAGGAAAGGTCGCCGGTTTTTGTGGTGTTGGCGAGGAGATGCCAATCCTTCAACCATCGTCCTGCTGCGCCCACGGCACGTTGGAGGAATGCAGCTGATAAATCCCTCGCGTAATGCGTCGCGATGAGTGCCGTGGCATCGGCGAACTGGCTGCATTTGGTGTGCGAGTTTGTAGGTCGATCGTGTACACCAGGAAAAGAAGAGGCCCCAGGACAGAGCCCTGGGGTACACCAGCTGGAATTTTGGAATGACTACGTGCAGAACATTTTAACGATGGCTACCTGGCTAGTGGCCACCCATCTGTATGCGCATCTTTACACAGACGTCTAGCGATAACGTTTTTTTCAAATAACGAAAAATAATTGGTCGTTTAAAAAACGTTAGACTTTGTGACTCGTTAGACTTTCCGGTTTTACAGTAGGTGAATTCCCAGAGCAGAAACCGCGATCCCTAGCACTCGGAAGTCTGGGTGTCATGCCGGCGTTAGGCCAATTGTCAGGCAATATCGGCCCATGCAGTGCCAAGAAACCCCTCCGGAGTCACAGCACATCTTTAGTTTCCGCCATCGCCGACTTGAGCGGCAGTCTCCCTGTTTCGTGGCAGTCAGTGAGCAATTCACAAGCCTTCTGCTATGTACATGTACATACACATGTACAAATGTACATGCACATGCATACCTGCCAGCCAGCCCGATTTGGCCGGGATCGTCCCGATATCGAGGGTGGTAATAGGCACCCAAAAGTGTATTACTATTGGTCGCTTGCCTCACAGCTACATGTACATTTGTATACATTTTCATGCCTACATTGTACATGTACATGTACATGTACATGTACATGCATGTCCCGATCTCAGCCTCAGGTTTGCAAAGGTAGGCGGGGATGTATTAGGACGATTACGATCAGCCAGCTTTAGCAGTTAGGGACCGGCGGATTCTGCTCGAAAAGGTGGCAGATTCTGCTCGAAAAGCAGTAAAATTGGCAGAACCATACAAACCTTATGGCGGGCAATTCCTCGAATTCTGCTCCATTTCTTTATCCACATGCCAAACATGCATGAAACGTACCAGAAAAAGTACCGAATTCTGCCAATAGTGAGGGTTTGCATTCCGAAATTCGGCAAAAAGATTCGGCACGCGGGAGCGAGGTCGAAAATGCACACGAAGATTCGGCATGTTTGTTCGGAAAAAGCTCACTTTGCCGAAAATATTTTTCGGATGAATTTTCTTGTAGAACAGCGCTAGCGCGTGATTTATTCAAAGAGGTTTCTTATCTCGGCATCGCTTCGCAGCGTCTTGGGCGCATCAGCATCGCCAGCTACTTTTGATTGCTCCTCTCCACTGCCTGTCTACTCTCTATCGCCTGGAGTGTCCTCACCGTCATCTGTGTGGCTGAAAAGACTATGGCGATACACATAAAATTTGACTTGGCCATGGAGTTGGTTTTTCTGAGGCGACTGAGGAGGCAGGTTTGGCCCTCGACTCTTTGGGCGATCAAAGTTCGTTGGAATCAGCAAGAACGGAAGCACGGGACAGGACGTTGCTGATGCTGGGGCTCACGAAATGAAAACACATCATTTTCGACTTGCAAAACAAACGTTGGAGCGAAAATTCGACATTTTGATGTTCGACAAATGACCGAAGAACGCCGAACCGAAATTCGGAATGCAAAACCTCACTAATTTTTCTGCCGGCAGAATCCGCTGCACCCTAGCCAGCTTGGTAGGCTAGTAGCTTGGTGGTTTCCCCCGACGTCCATGCTACTTTACATGCTATGGCCCTAGGCCCTATCAGGGGCTCGATTGGCAGGTTGACGTTAGCGTTCAAATTCAACTTGGTGTTGCTGGCGCCTTCAATCCTACTACCGACATGTTGTGTATGTTTTCAGCGTCCAGCTGAAAGCTACACTTCTCCAACTGCGCACTGGGCTCCCTGACCTGTCATTTTTTGTTTTACATACCACTGGCGACACCTGGGCCTGTCATTTTGTTCTGTCAGAACATGCTGCCTGAGACGCATTCGAGCTGTCATCGACGGTCAGGAGAGATGTCGGTTGTTGTGTTGAATTCTTTGGTGCCAGCTGCTATGCACTCTTTCGTCACACACTTGCTACCTTTCGAGAGTCACTGGTTAATTAAAAGGTTGACACACTACCCACCGTCGAGGATCTTGTTCTTGACTTGAGTGCCAACTCATCCTACTGGCTCCTCTCCAAAAAAGTAGCAGCTGCTGGGTTGCTATGCTCGTACAGTGTACATGTACATGTACATGACTGTACTGGCGCATGTATACAGTCAACTTCGCTTATAAGGACTGCGGATATAACGACAATTCGCGAATAACGACAGAATGTCCATGCCCCGAGCAAAGTCCCATCCAACTGTAATACATAATAATAAGACTTCGGGTATAACGACACTTCGCGAATAAGGACACTTTTCTGATGCCCCGCCGAGTGTCGTTATAAGCGAAGTTGACTGTATGAAGGTCCCTGATCCACCTCCACCTCTTGTGTGGTCTGTCCTGCTATGCTGTATGGAGCTGAGAGTTGGACTCTCCGGAAGACAGATGAACGACGAATACAGGCAGCAGAAATGTGGTGCCACCGACGTCTGCTCAGAGTATCCTGGACGGAGAAGCGCACAAATGAAAGTATCCTGGTGGAGTTGGGAGTACATGTACAGAGACAGCTGCTACTAGTGCTAGCCAGGGTCTTGATACGCAAACTGACCTACAGTCAACTTCGCTTATAACGACACTCGGCGGGGCATCAGAAAAGTGTCCTTATTCGCGAAGTGTCGTTATACCCGAAGTCTTATTATGTATTACAGTTGGATGGGACTTTGCTCGGGGCATGGACATTCTGTCGTTATTCGCGAATTGTCGTTATATCCGCAGTCCTTATAAGCGAAGTTGACTGTATTTCGGGTACAGTCAACTTCGCCTGTACATGTACATGCCGCCCATCTGGCTCCGAGCTTGTACATGTACGTGACGTGATGTTTGGTGTCGTGGATGGTAAGAGAAAGCGTGGTCGTCCTTTTGCTGAAAATATCGTTTCGTGGACTGGTACATGTACATGTACATGTACGTCTCTGCGTGAGAATTGCCAGTTGGCATCTGACAGAGATGCCTGGCAGTCACACTGTGCATCTACTGCTGCACAGCTGCATAATGCCGTTTACTAAAAAGCTGTTTTTATAAACTGTTTTTTATTGGATAGGGTTTGATTATGTTGAATAAACGAGGTTTGTGTCAATTGGAGATTGACTTGGAGTTTTTACGAGTTCATTCTAAGTAAATAATAAACGGCAATTTTTATTTATTTTATTTTACTACTTCGAAGTATTATTATTTTTTCGGCAACGCAGATGATGATGATGATGATGATGATCCACCTCATTATTATATTTTCCAGCGCTATGCTCTCCAAGTGTACTAGTGTAACTAGCTGATTGGCAACATGTGCACGCTTCCAACTCCATCAACGGATGAACTCCATAAGCAAGAACCAAGAAAGAGCTCAGCCCCTCTCCCATACATTGTAGGTCACTTATGCAAAACATGTACATACATATACAGTCATGTATACAGGTGCAGCAAAACCTGTCTAGGCGACCACCTGTCCCAGAAGACCGATATAAACTACAGTCAGTGCTGGCAACTGAAATCCGACCGCTGAGCGATGCGTTCACATTCTAGCGGTCTCTATTTCGTAGGTTTACTATCCCGTGTTGGGTCTTTGCGATGTGATTGTGAGCGCACCGCTCAGGGGGTCGGATTTCACTCTTTCAGTTGCCAGCACTATAATGTACATGCACGACCAAGGGATGTTATTTCCAGCCAAAGCGATACTGGAGGAGAAGATCACCTTATACTGAACGGAGACCACTTCCTGTCCGGCGTCAGGACGTCCCTTGACTGGAGCGATCTTCTAGACTGGTTTCACGGTATCGACATACATGTACATGTACATGTACACACTTGTACTATCATGTACATGTATTGTGCACTTCAGAGTTTTATCGGCCTTATAATATCTGTTTTAATAGGCGCTGCATCTGCCACCCTGGTATTACAGGCATGGTGGTGGCCTGGCACGAGCGAAACTTCCTCCTAAGCTGGTTGTGTTTCTCAACGCTATTGTATAGGCGGTTGTAGCACAGACATGCGAAATTTACTTTTTTTTTCAAATCTGCTCTGCGAGTTTCCTTGAGTACTCTGCTCAGCGTGTGTTATTTGAGCTGCAGAGCGAGTAGAGCTGGAATCCAATTCCAAGGTCCAAACTAGACTACAGTGTAATGCTTGCGTTCCTGCTGTTACAGCAACAAGGCTATACGTCTTGTCCGTCTTGTCCAGGACTCCATGCGTGTACACCACGTGTCTGACTAGGGTTGACGAGCCCTAAGGTTAATCAGTACACGTATCGATACTCGCACAATGGCCAACACTCAGTTATGTGACTTTTTGTCGCATAGTGGTGTTGACTGCAAGGGCAAGTAAAGTGGTTGCTCATCTTGCCCAAAGCACGGGTTATACATGAACATGACAGTGACATCGGGCGCGGACGAACAGGGGTCTCTCCGCGATCCGCTTGTTTGTAAGTAGTGCCAGTTCAGCCATGTACTAGTAACTGTATCTTCTTCTTTTTTTTAGTGCTCCGGTGAATTGCTGTTCGTAGATCTACTACTAGACACAATCACCCGCCTTCGCGTTTCAGCCTTGCACAAAATTGGAGTGTGGAGGAGCGTGGTTGCTCATCGGCGGCCGTATCTCCGTCTCATCCGGCCTTTGCTCTCCTGCGTGCCGATATTATCATGTGTCTGCTGGAGGCCAGCTCACCATTTCCCTGGAAAATTTAAAGGGGTGTGGATGCCGCATCCCCAGACTGATGTTCTTGTTTCCGAAGCGCGGCTTGTTGGCAACTACATGTCCATGTAGCTAACACGGGAAATGGATACAGACTGATCTAACACTTACAGAGAGATAGTATCTGACATGAATGGAGTTGTCATTGTTATGTGTGCAGATTGTCACGTCTCATTTTTTCTTTTTCTTTTTGAAAATAATAATTTTGTTTTGCTTTTTGTCTTTAGTTGTGTCAGTTCAGTGATATGATAACTATCATGTTCTGTGATTGCCCGTATAAGAGGCTTATTCCCAACAAAATTAGAACTAGGCGCTGTGTATCATTATGCTGCAGGGCGTGTGACGCTATCGACCTGGCTGACACTGTGACAGTCAACAAAATGCACATACACTCGCGATCCTTCCGCAGTACTGAGCAGTCAAGCCAGGTCGATGACAGGTGACAAGGAGCTATTCGCATCGTCATGCATGACGAAAACTTGTGCCCGAGTACAGCTTAGTTTGGAAGATTACGACGTGATTTTTACGAGTTCGACGTGCCTGCAGCAGTCGTAGATCTGCGGGTGGTATGACTTTTGTGTCTCGTGCAACTATCATTCTATTCCTGACAGCACTTCCATCCATGCAGCGCGTTCCCACGAAGCGCTGCCCCTGACGCTTGCCTGGAGAAAAATGCAGTTACAGACTAATCACTAATACATCAGTATTCCTGCTAGCGCGCTAGACAAGACGCGATTTCGGACTCTTTTGCACAGATCGATCAGAGGTGGATCCACGGAGCACGGGTACGGCCGTAGAATCTACGGGTGCGAGTTGGCCAGCGCACGCAAGAGTCACTCTCATCCGATCGCTATCAAAGTGTTTAGTTCGCAGGCCATCCTCATGTGAGTGCAGCTCAATACTCACTTTCGCTGTCCGTGTTGGCCTCCGGCGGTAGCTGTTGCCCTTTCCTCCTCTACATGCAGTCTTGTTCGCTTTCCGGTTCTTCATTTTGGAGGGTACAAATAAGGTGCAGGTGCAGGTGGGTGTATGTATGTGGCTAACCTTTCCGGAGGCGAATTTTCTGCCAACATAATCTGCCGCCTCGGGGTAGCGGATCTTGGAAGACCAGCGCGTGGCGAGTGAGTAAAAGAGTGTGGGTGATGTTTGTGCCTGAGCTAAATCTAGTACTAGTGAACACGTTGCTGACCCATAGCTGCTGAGGGAAGGCTTACGACTCCGTTGCCAAGCTGCGGAATCTCACGACTTCGGAGAGCCCAGCGTGGTTCCGGGCTCGGTTCAGAGGCTATTCCGATTGCAACTTCACCGGCACTGCGGGGGGCAAGAGACCAAACCCGCAGATCTGGAGCTCAACAGGCTACCCAGTGCAGTTTTCCACAAATAATTAGTTGCAGTCGTGTCACAGTTGAGGTGGCGACGAACGGGACGTTGAACGCGGCCGCCGTAGCACCGCTAGAGATTTCTGGGCGACATGCTGCGTCCAGTCAAACTGCTGCACATTGCACTGACCGTTGCATTGATCGCACCTGCTTGCTCCGCTCAAGGTAAGGGCGCGATTGCAGTAAGTCAAGTCGTCTGTATGTGCGGGCCCCGGTGAACATCAACCGGAGGTTTAACCTTAACATTATTATAGCTTTGGATAGCAAACGGTCCTGCACTTTACAAGCTGCTGTCAGTGATGATGTGATGGCGTGATGATGTGATGATCTCTCTTCTGCTGTGGATTTTCCCTTTCAAGTTCCTAGACAACCCGGACAGAATGTGAACAGGCGCAAATGGGGGGGGGGGGGGGCAGAGAGCGAGAGAAAAGAGAGAGAGAGAGAGAGAGAGAGAGAGAGAGAGAGAGAGAGAGAGAGAGAGAGAGAGAGAGAGAGAGAGAGAGAGAGAGAGAGAGAGATGAGGAGAAGGGTCGGGGGATCGATGGTATACTACTCGACAAATGACCACTTATCTCTAGTCACAGGGAATGGGCAGTGAAGGATCGGTTGACGACTACAAGTAATTGTAGACATAAGTATTTTACACAACAGCGCTGTACAGGGAAATCTGTCTAAGACGACCACTCAAGCCGGGACCTCCAAAACGTGGTCTCTGTTACCAGGTGGTCTCCTTATCCAGGGTCATTTCACTGGAAATAGCATCCCTTGGTCCTGGTTGCAGTGGTCTTCTGGGACAGGTGGTCGCCTTATCCGAGGGGTCATCCGAGGGGTCATCTTGACGGGTTTTACTAAAATAATTAGCAGTCATCAAACAGCACTGGCTACGATGTCCTGAGGATGTGTTTGATATAAGCTGCAGCAAGGGGCATTTGCCGCACCTGCACAAGGTCTCAAGTCTCGCTTGTACGTGTACTGCCACGAGCCTCCTCTCGATTTGGTTATTCCTCTCTTTCTTATCTAGCCGCCGACCGCTGGAACTCAGTTCCGGCATCGGTCCGCCTTGCTGCTTCACCAAGTCAATTTCGTATCGCACTCCTAGATTGGCTAGGGTACCCCATAAGGAGACCATAGGTCTGTGGGGACTACCCTAGGGAAATATGAATAAATACTATACTAAATACTATACATTTGTCCTGACTTTACAAAACTAAAGCAAAATCTGCTGTGCACTCAAATGTCAGGTTACGCAAGAGGTACACAAAAGGGAAGTAAAATAGGGCTGTTTCGTTTAGGGGTCAAACGGGTGTACCTTTAACTAACGAACAGGTAATTTTCTTAACGAGCGGGTTAACGAGTACCCTTTAGCAGCCATATTTAATTTTTGCGCAGTTTTCACATAAATAATGACATTAATTTTTCTGTTCTCAGGTTGAATTTTGACATCACATTATGATTCCCAAATTGATCTGTGCCTGATAGTTGCAGAGGTAGATCTACTAGGTTCACAAATGCAACAGCAATGCAGACATCCAGCGTGGAGTTGTAAATAATTGACTCCCGCCTGGAATGCGCAATCCCAGCAGTGTCGTTCCGTACTGACTGGATCATCGAAATCCAAACGGGTACCCTTTTACTAACGGTACCTGAGATTAACGGTCGGGTACCCGGGTACCCGGAACACCCCTTTGACCCCTAGTTTCGTTGTTACTCAGAGTTATAATTATGGCAAAACCAATCATCAGACAACAATGGCAGATTATTGTTTTTCGATTTTGTCGCATCATGTATACAGTCTTACTGCAAGAATCTCTCCTCCGTGCACTCTCAGCCGACATGTTGCTACCCTCGCATGGAGGTGAAGAGGAGGAGAGATTGTTGCATTATTGACCAGCCGAATGGTACCGCTCACAATTATATTGTAAACATAGTGCTGGATGAAAAAGAGAATCTTGCAAGAAAGGTCAAATTTAAGAAGAGCAGTACTAGACTAAATGGCTGAGCAGATGTTACTCCATTGTTTTCTGTCGCGGGCATAACTGCCGAGATCACGAAGGCATCTGGGCTTAAACATGCAGATAGGTGTAAGGTGGACGTATCGCTGGAGACTTTTTTCCTTGTTTCCCACTCACACACACACACACACACACATGCTCACAGTCAATTCTGCCGTCGTGAGTCCCATTCAGGCCGGATACGAGAATAATAACAATAATAATAAGTGCTTGATTATAGAATGCTTTTAGAAGAAGCTGCCTATAGATGGCAATCACACTAGGAAGCCGAATCTCTTGAATCAAAATCAAACTAATAATTCAAACTTAGGCTGGTTGCCGTTTAGGAGCTGCATCTGCTCGTTAATCCTAGTGGGTGGTGGCGTTCCTGCGGATGCGGAAAACGCCGAGTCTCACGCGAACCGTGAATTTGTTAAAAATTTGTTTAGGCTGGTTTATATTGGCTGGTCAACAACTCGTTAGTTTTGTGCCTTTGTAGCTACTTCTGTTGTGCTGTTGCAAAGCCTCACACTCTTGTTAGGCTGCCTCACACTTGCACCTCTTTTTGTTTGTTTGTCAATCCTTTTACGTGTGTGGTGTTATGCATTTTACAGTCCATTCATCGGAAACTGTCCCACTGGCCTTTGAAAGTCGGATTTGGGCGGAATTGAGGATCAAAAACTCACTTAAAAAGGTTTAATCTCAAAAATCTGGGTTTAGGATCTGCTTCTCCATACATTTTGCCATGGTATACCTTTCCTAATTTGGTAAAACCTGGCTGAATTTCCTTTTCCCTGTTCTTGGACTTTTCTAGCCTCAAATGTGGCAAGGAGTAATTGCACGGGTCACACAATGCAGGATGTACTATTGTTGTTTTCACGACATCTACAACAGTTGTTACTATGTGCGGGAGACACCAAAAAGTTAGGGTGCCAGTTTCCAATGAATGGACTGTAGTACCGTGCTGTTTTTAGCTACAGTCAACTTTGCGTATAACGGCACTCGGCGGGGCATCAGAAAAGTGTCCTTATTCGCAAAGTGTCCTTATACCCGAAGTCTCATTATGCATTACAGTTGGATGCGACTTTGCTCTGGGCATGGAAATTCTGTCGTTATTCGCGAATTGTCGTTATATCCGCAGTCGTTATTGGCGAAGTTGACTGTACTCTTCTTTGCGCCGTTGCTGTCACATTACTACTGTGCATGAAGAGCTCCTCCGATTCAAAACGAGAAAAATCCATTTTATGGAAATTTCAGGAAGTGCATTATTTTTTCATTTTTCTTTTTCTTTTTCAGTCTGCACTGCAGCATCAGTGACTTTTATCGCGTTTTTGCAGAAGAACACAAACGTCAGTCATCATTTTTGACTGGGGTGTATCGTGTTTTGACCCGTAAAACCGACACAAAAAACGCAGAAGCTTCGGTTTGGTCTTTATCGCGTTTTGAATTGGAGCCCTTCAGATGATTCATTGTCACACGCGGCTTGTTCAGTTTCTCATGCAGTTTTGCCTGTATACCACCAGTCAGGGCCGGCGCCACTGGTACGGCCGGCACGGCCATGGCCGTACCAAAAAATCCCAAAAAGTCGGTCCACGTGGCCGTAGAACTTCCAAAACCGGGGAGAAAAAGTTTCGATGTATGATTTTGTACAGGGAGTCGCCCACAGTGCAGGGTTTGCCGTCTAAATTCCAAAAAATTTCTGGGGGACGGCCCCAGACCCCCTTAAAGATGGCCCTTCGGCCGCACCGCTCCGCGGAAGCAGCCTCCGGCCGCACCGCTCCGCGGAAGCTGCTTCCGGCCCTGCACCTGATAAGAAGCCTGCAATGAAAGCACTCGTGTGGAAAGGCTTTTAACTAAGATGTAGATTGTCAGGAGCCTGAAGCAAGCTCAGTTCTTTTCTGGAGTGTGATTGCATGTTTGTCTCCACAAGCACAAGCCCTCTACAAAATTGGGCCAAAGTGAATGAAGAAGCAGGTCCAAAAACTCAAAATCTTCAAATTCCGCCTCGGAAGTAGAGTAAACCTGTGTTTTTCGGACCCTGTACCAAGAAGTGAATCCCATATTGACCGGTCAAATTTCATTTTATTTCATTTTATTCATTTTTTTCCAAGCAATACATGGCTGGTGTAGCCAACGACCACTTTGCGTGGCGATTGCAGAGTTTTTATAACCATTCATTATAGGCGATTCACACGACAGGCAAATCCACGTTTACAGGAAAGTCACCATGGAGATATTCCTGCGGGTGACCAAAATTTGCCCGCGGGAATCAAAAGTGTCCATGGCCTTTTTGCCCGCGGATGCACTCATCTGCGGGCACTTTCACAGTTATGAGGCTGTGAGGTCGTACTGTCGTACGGTAGTCTTGAACCCTGGTTGTTTGGCCTTCGTCTTTGGGTACTCATTCCAAATCACCACAGTAACGCCGTATACTCACCGGATACTCGCGGGAGCTCTGGCCGCCACCCGCGGCCGTGTGAACTGCAGCCTCACGTTTCACTTCCTGCGGGCACCTGACAAACGTGGATTTGCCTGTCGTGTGAATCGCCTATATTGAAGCACAAGAGTGTTGTGGATCGAGCGTGCATCCCTGGCCTGGATCAAGCGGAGTCCTGTCACTGAATATTAGGGCGGGTTGCGCTGGCCCAAGGGCGTCCTGTAGGTGATGTTTTTTGTTTGTTTTTGTTTTTTTTGTAAATGGACCATAGCTGTCCTCACTCAGTCGCCAACGTTCCTCTCCATTACCCTGATGATGGGCCAGGCCTGAGCATTTGGTGTAATGTAAATCTTAATTTTAATTTAAATCGCAGTGAAGAGACCGTTTTTGGAGTTGAGAAGTGAAGTTTTCTAAATGTGCCAGTGGCTGCGTTGGAGTTTGCGGACGACTAGCAAAAAAGTTCCTCTGTGTTTGTTTTTATCATCGCAGGTAGCAGCAGCCCATCAACTAGTCCACTCGTTGCTAGCTTTTCCGGACGGTCGTCCCTGGAACGCAAGTTGCTAAGCAACGCGGCGCCGGGAGCCAGCACGCGTCTATTTCAATTCACGTTTCGCACGGCTAGCGATGACACCGGCGCACTGCCCATGCCAATTCTCAGCGTTCACGATTCGTCGGGAAACCGTGTTGTCGCGCGGCTGACGTTGCAACGTGCCGTCCAGGTGACGTTTGACGGAACCGTCGTCAAGGGCGATGCACTCGATTGGACGTCGTCATGGCTGCAAGTTAACATTACCATAGCAGAGAAATCACTGGCTCTCTCCGTAAATGTGAGTAGGCGATTTTCAGCTGAAGAAACCGCCATCTCACACAATCTTTCATAGGCTCCCTGCACTGCATAGACTCCCCCCCCCCCCCCCCTCCCTAAAAGCTCATTGCACATTGCCAAATATGGAAGGTATGAGTAATGCATGTGAGTACGCTGGGATCAGCAATGCACTGTTCAATACCGGTATACCCCACACGACCATGCCCAGGTGGCTGTGTGGCGTGTTGGCTGTACAACTTACGTCATTGCCCAATGAAAGTATCAGTTATTACCAACAGCTGTCCATTGACCAGATGCGGCTATTGGGGTTTCTCGGCACTTGTGCAAGTGGTTGTGAGACTTATCCACTCACCCCCACCGTTAGGCGCTGCATCTGCCGCTAGGGTTTACCGGGTGTTAGCGGCCGTCGTGAGGTCCCTCCAGGAAGGGACACGGTAATTTACTTTTTACTTGTCCATTGACCACCAGCAGCAGGGTTCCAATTTTTTGTGCGGTCGAATTTTTCCGTTCCCCCAGGGATTTGTTTCACAGCAGCGCAGCACACCTCGCGTGGGCACAGCCCGCCTTGGCGATGCAGTTGACATCATCATTGGCCGGCACCATTCGGATGAGGACGACCACTTCGTTGGATGTCTGCGTTCGGTCATTGTCGACGGACAACGTTTATTTGAGGAGTTCTACGCTGAGCGACGTGGTGCCCTGATTGGGTTAAGAGAGGTGAGGAAATATTCATTGTTCATCACTCGGTGACGTATTCTAGCTAATGATTGTGACAAGAAAACGCTCTTAGATCCAAAACACTGTTCCTTCATGTTTCATGTAGATGCATGAATATACAGAATGACCGCGCATCATATCTTACTACAAATTGCGATTTTAAACTTTTGTCTCCTCGTCGACGCTTCAAATATGATTATGATACATGGAGTTGACAATGATTACAGGTGAGCTCGCTCGGCGTCCAAAACATACTTCCAAGTACGTCCATGGTATCAAGCGGTCAAGTTGCATGGCAACGGCAAAACAAACAGCGTGCGTGTGCCCCGAACGCCATGGTTACGTTTCAAATCATGACTGCGGCCTTAAGAGGGAGGTAGGGGAGGAGTACCGCAATTTGGGACATGGGGTCTTATGCACACAACGTGTATTAGGGAGCACCATGACTTTGGACTTGGAGTTTTACACGTATGCACACAACATGTGTGATCATCAATCGATTCGGGCCTGTGTTCAAGGTGAGCGATCATCGGGCAGACAGACACTTTCCACTAGTCATGGCACCCAGGCAAGGCAAACACTGACCGTGGTGGAGAAAATTACATCAGGCATTCCCTCAGTGTTGAATGTCTAAGTGTCAATTGAGTTTCGTCCGGGTCTTTGATGTGGTAAGAGTGTTTGCTGTAAGGACACATTCATTTTTAAACTGAAAGTGCTCACGTTTTTCGGAACGTCAAGAAAGCTGAAAACGCAGCACATTTCTTGGCCGTTTTGAGACATTATGTGAGCATGGTTATCATGTTTCTGCGATGCTGTTGCTTTGACAGGGGAACACAGAGAGCGAGAGCGAGCGAGAGAGAGAGAGAGAGAGAGAGAGAGAGAGAAAGAGAGAGAGAGAGAGAGAGAGAGAGAGAGAGAAAGAGAGAGAGAGAGAGAGAGAAAGAGAGAGAGAAAGAGAGAGAGAGAGAGAGAGAGAGAGAGAGAGATAGAGAGAGTGCATACGTACATGTATGCATACTTGGGTTTACAACTCCAGGTCTACTTTGGTTCGACTTGCGAGGATCGGCTACTATCATGTCACAGGGCGGAGTCTCTGGCCAGAGATGGTCTTCTGCTGGTGGACCAGGAGTCTGCACTGACAGTGGACACCATGGTTAGTGGCAGCGGCGGTGCACAACATTGCATGCTATCTGGTCTCGTTGAGATTTGCCTAGCGGCAAGAGTTCATAATCCCCCAGAGTTCGCGACTTCACTGATCAGATCTGGGACGGCGAAATCCGTGTTGCACGTCATAGTGTGACATCATGAGCAGGGGAAGTGTGTTTGGGTCTCGGAACTTTTGGACCGCGTCGACGGAATGACGCAAGTCCGACCCGAAAAATGACGTACATCACGGATTACGCCGTCCCACAATCCCATCCCGGTTGCGCACTCTGGGGGAGTATGGACTCTTGGTAGCGGCCATACACTCCCAACATCATTTGCTGTACTTTGCTGTTCGGTTAACACATGCATGCAGTTGCCCTAAAAAAATTCACAGCTCGCACGAGACTCGGCTGGAGGCTGAGTTGTCCGCATCCACAGGAACGCCGCCACTCTCTATGGATCAAAGCGCAGCTGCAGCTAGCTCCTAAGTGACCCTGCCGTACATCAAATTCAATCCTACACTAAGTCTTGTTCCCTTGCGCGCTCGGTTTAGACAGGTTTCCGTGTACAGTACAGCCTGTCAGGGCAACCACTCTGATGAGGCGACCACCTGTCCTGGAGGACCACTTCAACCAGGACCAAAGGATGTCATTTCCAGTCACATGAAGATTGGAAATTTGGTGTGCATCTATCGATGATCAGAGAGCGGTAATTCTGCACCTCTGTGTTGTCAACTGAAGGACGTCTGCAGCGATGAATAGAGTTATTTTCTCATCTCATACCTCCTCGTCGATTATTCTTTCTTTAATTGCATCTTTATTAAAAGCAAAAGGACCAATAAATAATAATAAATAATCCTTGGCTGTCCATCCGAGTTCAGTTCAGAATTGTATCTTTGCTCTCGGTCCGTGGTTGGATTCACCCTCGCTTCCTTGTATTGGCAATTTTCATTGTGTGTCATTAGGTGCAGACAGTAAATAATAATAAATAATAAATATTGTGTTCAAGTACCGTGGTTTGCTAACACCCTCTCTCTTTGCATTGGCCGGTGAACGTTCTCACTGTGCTATGAGATGCTGTAATAAATAAATAAATAAAAAAGTAAGATGAAGAGTATATAACCCCCCCCCCCCCCCCCCCCCAGAGAGTGCACGGCGAAAACTCACATCAAGTGTCTCAGGCACGTTCGTGCTGCGTACCAACGAAGGATAGCGTGCGCGCAACTCGAATATCTGCCACGATCATGCTGGGGATTTGCATAGGCGCAGTGAGTTTCTGTCAGAGAGTGCTTTTTTGAATGACTCCGCTGCTCGCTAAAAACGGGCTGGAACGTACAACTGCGACACTGCACCACGTGATGTGAGTTTTCGCCGTCGGCGTACGCCATAGAACGGGTATCAGGAGTTGCACCCTCTTGGGGGGTTATTATACTCTTGGTAAGACTCGGATGGAGAGCCAAGGATAAAAAATTAAAAAAGAGAGGACCAACATGGTACGTGTTATCCTAGCTGTTGCACCTTCTGACTACACAACATCTTACAACATCTTGCGTATACTTCAAGTAACTGTTAGTTTTGGACACAAACTCCGGATAACAAACTCCGGATAACAAACTCCGGATAACAAACTCCGGATAACAAACTCCGGATAACAAACTTCGGATAACATGTAACATTTTGGTCCATCCAAGTCTTACTTGAACACAAGATTTTTTAATTTATTTTATTTTATTTACTGTCTGCACCCAATAGGGCTTGAAAGTGATGACGTCAAAAACGGCCTGGGAGTAGTAAATTGACATCAGATTTCTATTTTGGATCCACTAAGGTGTGACTTTGCTATTGCCTCAGTATGTGGGTGCATAGCAACCCACTCATGTCGTATGCAGGTGCAACTTTTACTTCGCCACCAGTTGTCACCCCGCCCCCACTAGCCAAATCAGTCAGTTTCACTGGCAACATCACCTTGCTGTGAGTGAGACCGCTTGAAATGTGCTTGGATCCATACAAAAACTGGATCCAGGTGGATCCAGTTTTCGAATTTTTCAAATTGTTGCTATGCCATTGATATGGAGTGACGTAGCACTTTCAAGCCCTATGACACAATCATAATGAAAATTCAATCCTGTGTTGCTCAACACTACCCTGCGCTCAGGTTGACATCTCCAGAGAGGCTCTGATCAGCTTCACCCTCCAGACACAGCAGGCCAGCGCCATCGTGCTCAACGTCGCCGGCGTCCACAACTACATCACTCTGTTCCTGGAGGTCGGCGAGGTGTGCCTGCAATGCTGGCGCAACCGCACGTACTTCGCGCTTGTGTGCACGCGCGGATTCGACATTACGCGCGGCGGTGCTCACAACATCACCCTCAGCAAGGTCAACGAGCTAGTCGTTCTCGTCGTTGATGGTCACATGATCGACTCGATAACGCTACCGCCGGAAATGCTCTACCTGGGCGGCTCGTGGACGTTTGGTCGCGTAGATACCGCGTGCGGCGCCAACGTCAGCATTGGTTTCGACTTCCGTGAGTACACCACATGTCTGTGTGTGTGTGGTACATGGTGTGTGTGTGTGTGTGTGTGTGTGTGTGCATGTGTGTGTGTGTGTGTGTGTGTGTGTGTGTGTGTGTGTGTGTGTGTGTGTGTGTGTGTGTGCGCGCGCGCGCGTGTGCGTGTGTGTGTGTGGGGGGGGGGGGCGGCATCGCTGTTCAAGGGTGGCCCATAGACCAACAGCAGAGGAACGCTCAGCCTTCCAGCACGTGTGCATATGCGGCAAGCGGATGCGACTACCCGTGCAGCTGGAGCGCCATCGGGCGTCGTGCCCTCTCTCTCTCTCTTCTCAAGTTTCCCAGTGATGGGATCACGTGACCCTTTTGCGGCAGTGACTCTACAGGACAGGACAGGACAGGTGTGTGTGAGTGTGTATGTGTCCGTCCGTCCGTCCGTCCGTCCGTCTGTCTAAGCTTATTAGCTAGTAAGCTCCTAACTTGGAGGGTTTTTAAGCCGATGGAAAAAAAGCTCAAGAATAACCGACGACAGTAGTGTTCTGTATGTAGTGTATTTTCCGGAGTATAAGCCGTACCCCCCCCCCCCCCATTTTTGCCACGAAATACACTCACAGTCAATAGTGCGCGTGTGCCAGGGCTAACTAGGCTTTGCTGCGCAAAGTCCGCATTATGCATGTGTACCCGTGCACCTTCATTGCTGACACCGGCAGTCCGTTGCAGTAGAGTTCAGGCCAAGAGTTCAGGCCAAGAGTAAAGAGCAAAGTTGAGGGAGCTTTCCAGCGGCACCGACAAATTTGCCCCTGCGTGTGCGCCTGTTCCCATGACGACCGTACCGAACCCAGGGAGCTTGTTTAAAGGGGAACTACACCCAAAAATCAAAACTTCATGGTCCGTAGAGTTTTGGACGCTGAGTCGAATGGTGAAGGTCCCACTTCGATCCGACCAAGCGTTCTTGAGATATATCAGTTTGCAATTGTCCTTTTCGGGTCCGTGCCGTGACGTCACAAACCCGTGACGTCATTGAGACTTGGTGATCCTTTGGCCAGATCCAGAAACACTGGGATTTCGCATCTTCTTTCTGTTTGTCCATGGAAGAAGAGGGTATTTGTGTCATCATGGCTTCTGGCTGTGTTGTTGGCTACTATAATCTTACTGGTAACCCCCCTGGGATGAACCTGCACCAATTTCTGAAGGATTGTGCTTGGCACAGGCCGAGCAGTGCACCATAGCAGCTATCAAGCGACAGAATTATTTGCTTGACAATTTAGGGACTACAATGTAAATCCTTCGCGTGTGTTCCAGCCATTTGGCAGAGGAGGATTTTCAGGAGGAATATTATGGCACTCATCCGATGCGGACGCTGGTGGATGAAACTGTGGTGCGTCCTTTTTCGCACGCCACACTGTGAAGTGTCAGTCGAAAAGCGGAGGTGAGTGCAATATTTCAAAAACACTAGCTACTGTATGTAGTTCTTTCTTTTCCAAAGCATTTGTAGAATTGTTTTGGACTACATCACTACGAAATGTGAAGCTTTCCGAAACCGGCCTGATGAGGTGGACGGCAGTAGATCTCCTGTTTCCCTAGGCTATGCTGCGTGCGATCGATGAACCTGTCTGCGATTGCTGTTCTTGATTTTACAGGAAGAAGATCAAGAGCGGCTGTACCATCGGTCGCAGTGACTCACTGTTGAGCTACGACCACTGCCACCGCCCCAAGGTTATAGGAAGGACTGTTTGCAGTGCCAGCGCCTCTAGCTGGCATGTTTTTTTCCTGTATGAACACACAGTATGTACTGCTGATAAGCTACATCACGCAATGACCCGCAGTTCAAGGAGAGAAGATAGTCCACATACCGGCAACGGTGTACACCTATTCGGGAACTCGTTGGGTTTTCTCAGTATGGATGCAGATGAGAGCCAGACATTATTATTATTGTGTGTATGCGTGCAAGCGCGTGAGTGTGTGTGTGCGCGCGCACGCACGCGCGTGAGTGTGTGCGTGCGCGCACGTGAGTGTGTTTGCGCGCACGCGCGTGAGAGACAGACATTATTATTGTGTGTGTGGGTGCACGCGCGTGTGTGTGCGCGCGCACGCGCGTGACACTGAGTGTGTGTGCGCGCGCACTTGCATGAGTGTGTGTGTGTGTGTGCGCGCACATGCGTGTGCTTTTGTGTAATGTAATATAACATTCCAAATATATTCACGTCATCTATTCTGTGTTCTCCTTTATGTCATTCTCTCCCCATTTGCGGGAGGGACATGGAATGACAAGTAGTAGATGCATTGCCGTTAGTGATCCTGCGGGATGTGTGGGTATGCAACCAAGTGCATGAGTGCGCGCATGTGTGCGTGCACGAGCATGTGCACAGGCACTTGTATGCTTATGCACTCGTGTGCGCACGCGCTTGTGAAATTGCGTGTCTGCGTGCGTGAGCATGTGTGACTACTATACTATGTGCCCACCAAGGTGAGCACATGTGCGTGCGTGTGTGTGGGGCGCAGGCGGATATGTGCACACATTTTAGAATGATTATCAAGGACAGAGCTGTTCCGGTAATGCAGTCATGAGACACCACAGTAGGGCAAAACGCACTCAATATGCTACTGTGCTGCTGCTGCTGCTAGAGTGCACAGCGTAATTGTTGGTACACAGCTACGTGAAATACAAGAGAACGTCTCAGCATTCTGTAAAGACTAAGTGATAATGCAAAAGGTGAGAATGTATTTCGCCACAATACGAATTGAGTGCAGTCCACTTATGTGAGATAAAGCACAAGTGAACCGATACACATTGCACGACTTGCACGGAGATAATGCTAGCCATGTTACGCAGCAAACTCCATGTACAGGAGTACGAGTGAGGAGACTATTGATCTGAGTACTGTGCGAATACAAAATTTCACACAATTTACGATATGAAGAGAACGATTCGATTCGTGAGCATTACGTAGGACTATACTGTGAAAACACTTACGGATTGTCAGGGTTGTCTGAGCTGCTTTGGCTGCCGCTTCATTTCGAAATAGCCCAGCCAACCGGTTGCCAGATGTGGCTGATGGAGAGCGACTTCTCCAATTGCAGTAATTTCTGCTTCATCCACATTTACAGCCCGATTGGAAGCCACCGCTTGCGCTGCCATATCCTTTCCTGAAAATTTCGGCTCATGCCCGAAGCCAAACATTTTCAGCTCAGGCTCTGAGCTTTCAAGCTCGTCTGATACGTCGGAATCGCTCATGGTGAGGACGTCTTTGTCAGAACTATTCCTTTCACATACCAAAATACCTGTACTTCTGAGCTTGGCCCAGGCAAGCGAGTCTCAATGACGTAGAAGGGTGTGTTGGGGGTGTGTCGCGGCCGCATGACGTCATGGCGCGTCCCCCGAAAGTACAATTTAAACCGAAGATATCTCAGGAACGCTTGGTCGGATCGAAGTGGGACCTTCACCATTCGACTCAGCGTCCAAAACTCTACGGACCATGAAGTTTTGATTTTTGGGTGTAGTTCCCCTTTAACAAAGTGAGCGGACTCTTGGTCTGATGTTGACTTTTGGTTAACTCGACAAGACACGATTCTAAAGGGTCATACTGAATTTCGATCATCCTTCAAGACTTTCTTAGGGTTCCCTGTAAAAAGGCGATGACGCCTGTAGGAAATTCCCTAGTAAAATAAGAATAAAAGTACTTCCTCCGTATACAAAAACTTCGTGACTTTTTTTGAACAGTGTTTTTGAGCAAGAACCTGCCCAACGAATGGCGCCAAAGGCTGTCATCGACAACACACGTCCATGTCGAGGTTTGTTTGGTTGATCCCGAACAGATTCTCCACGGACGCCCTGCGTGTGAGGACGTTGCCGACAGAAACTCAAGAGTCATATAAAAAAATTAACACTTACTTGCTCGAAACTGACATAGTGACGAAATGTAGCTCGTGGCTGGAACACGAAGTCACGCGGCACTCGCTGCCCTGAAACTGGCCAGGCTCGTACTTGCGGTGCGCGGCCCCATTACATAGATCTACGAGGCGTGAGACCATGGATTTGTTTCGCTCGCACGGCAAGATGAAACATTTCAGTCGTCGTGCAACCAGCGCAGACTCAGGATCAGAATGTCGATGGCCTGGCTTTCTTCGTCTCTCTCCAGTCAGACGTCTCCTTTGTCGCCAAGGAGAATCGCAGGGACCTCCTCGATGCCATTGTAGAATGCTTGGGAGGATTTTCCTGGCGAGAAAATGCAAAGCGTGTGGATGTGCTTGTACGACTCGTTTCACGGCATAATGGAGGTCGCGGGTTGGAACAACTGAATATAGTCGACACCGATTCGTATACAGCTCTAGAGATGAAGAGGACGTAGCCAAAGTCCAGCGTCGGATCATCACTACAGGTGACAAGAATCTGAACGAAATGCGAGCGCAAGCAGCGACTGTTGGCGATGCGGAGTCGGCGTCGTCAGATGACAATGACATGAGCGACGAAGACTCTGAAGAAACTCAATCTCATTCGTCTGAGTTGCTTTTTTTCTTTCTATATAGCTTGTAAACAGGTTAGACAATGCCACAAGTGCTATTCCGAGTCAAACGAACAATTCCAGAGCTGTGCGCAGCTTTCAAAAAAAAGTCACGGAGTTTTTGTATACGGAGGAAGTAAAAATATAATAAAACTTGAAACTCGGATGTTGAGCCATAAATAAATGTAGAAGAGAAAAGGACATATGGATACGAGTTAAGAGTAACTCTCCATCACTGTAACATGATACTATATACAGTCAGAAAGTGCAATAACTAGGCACAGAACTGACAGAGTACTGAGACATTCGACGTTATGACACCTAGCTTCAACACATCTCCGTAGCGCTAACCGACAGCCTTCCAACGTGGAAGGTTCAAGGTTATGGAAAGACCAAGTTGGGTGGTGTGCTGCTTTGCTGCTTCGAATTGTAGTGAGACATGCCCTTTATCGACTTGCACACACTTCTCCTCTCTCCGTTCGTCATAAGCACCATCTCTGTACACTGGTTCATAAAATATTTCTTCATAAAACCCCTTCACACATGATGAAGTACAATTGGTTTTCGACAAGCTCAACCCGTAACGCGCTCATCCTGCCTCTTGTTAAGTCAGCCCAGTATCTAAAGTCCCCCTTGTTTTCCGGTTACTCTCATTGGTTAGCATTACCATACGGTCTGAAAACTTGTTCTTCTATTGGTCAGTTTAAAGATCTACTATCGCAACTGAACTAGACGCAATAATTATTATCGAAGAACATTCTCGAATACCTGGGTGATGCACGAATTTTGATTGTGCTCACTTCCGTTAATCGTTTTTCTTTGTAATTTTCCATTCATTTTTTGCTTTAATTAATATTTGCTTTGTTTTCCCAGCTTACTATTGCCGTGGCTGGCTCAACACCCTTGTCTCAGGGGATTCTGTCCCTGCATTAGCTATGCTTGTCACATGCTATGAGATTGTGTCTAATAATAATAATAATAAGACCGCTTTGTCAAATATCGTACTGGTCTCGTCATCGTCCAGTAACAATCGACATTCTTTGTTCCGTTGGGACTGTAGCTTTTGCTCGTTTTCGTTGCGCTTGCCTTCCCCTCTTTGGTCTTTCCATAACCTTGAACCTTCCAAGTTGGAAGGCTGTCAGTTAGCGCTATGGAGATGTGTTGAAGCTAGGTGTCATAACGTCGAATGTCTCAGTACTCTGTCAGTTCTGTGCCTAGTTATTGCACTTTCTGACTGTATATAGTATCATGTTACAGTGATGGAGAGTTACTCTTAACTCGTATCCAATGTCCTTTTCTCTTCTTCATTAATAAAACTTACATCTAAGTTCTCAGTGCCGATGTTATCTGCCATTCCTTTCTGGTTTCCACTTCCTCAGCCAACTTCAGCGGGTGTCTGGCGAACCTCGAGCTCAACGGCTTCTGTCCCAGGAAGGTGCTGGATTTCACTTGTAACACGAGGGTAAGGAGAGCCATGAGGTGGGCTCAAGGTCAGGCCGCTATTGCTCCGCTTCACCAGAATAATTATTACGATATTTTAAACAGCATTTGAAGTAGTGGAATGCAATTTCATTTCATCGCTTTTCGGATAATGGCCAAAAAAGGATTTATTTCATGTGCTGTTTGTATCTTAATCCATATTTGGGTTTCAGTTTAGAAATGGTTCTAGTCGGATTTTGAATGAGAAAAATTCGCCTGCTGGCGTCCTGGGACCTTTTGAATACACCGAGCTGAAAATCTGATTTTCTCAAATTTGGTGCTTGTCACAGCGGGTTTTGCATCTCAGCTCTTGATGTACGTGTCTGTGCGTGATTGTGACCCGGCACGAGCGAAACTTCCTACGCCAGTTGTGTTTCTAAACACACGTGTATAACCGGTAGAAAAACGGATGTGTGAAATTCGCTTGCTTTAATGTTTCCTCGGAGACGAACAGCTATAACACTTGGTAGGAGTACAAACTTCAGGTGCTTCAACAACATTCTGAAATGTCTTTCACGAGTCAACCTTCGGGCCTTCTCTTCAGTTTGCTCTAGCCTGCATATCCCCTGTAGAGAGGGCACGAAAAAAGTGTCGTTGAGAAAAACCTTTCAGACTGTTGTTGGAGAACCTGTAGAGTTTGCGCTCCCACTAAGTTTTTTGCTGGTTTACTTTTTTTATAGAAAAGAACAATTTTTTCTTGTTTATAAATTTATAGTTGGCTCTTCATTCGAGTCCATACTTTTTTCTCTCTTTTTGTTGGCGTTTTACTAGTTTTGCAGTCCATTCTCTTGTTTTTTTTCTCCTCTTCATCACTATTCGTACAGGACACGGCGGAGAGTGCTGGCATCTACGAGGGGTGCTACCACAACTTCTGCGACGTTGAGGACCTGTGCGAGGTGGGCACGTGCGCCATCGCCCTCACCGGCTTCTACTGCGACTGCTTTGGAACGCAGTACGCAGGGCTACGCTGCACAAAAGGTTGGTGCTTTCATTCATCATATAGTGCCTTGGTTGACAGTTGCAGAGCAGGGCCAGCGCCACTGGTACGGCCGGTACGGCCATGGCCGTACCACCTTCCCAAAAAGTCAGTCCACGTGGAAAGTCCAAAGCCGGGGAGAAAAAGTTTCGATTTATGATTTTGTACAGGGAGTCGCCCAGAGTGCAGGATTTGCCGTCTAAATTCCAAAAAGTTTCTGGGGAAGGACCCCGACCCCCTTAAAGATGGCCCTTCGGCTCCACCGCTCCGCGGAAGCTGCCTCCGGCCCTGCAGAGAGGGGAGGGGGTAAAGTTCGCACGTCCGCGTTACAACTGGCTATACAAATTCTATTGAGAAACACAACCAGCTTAGGTGGTTTCGCTTGTGCTAGGTCACCACCATGCCTGTGATACCAGGGTGGCAGATGCAGCGCCTAGCGGCGAGGGTGAGGTGGTAACTCTCACAGCCAATGCCCGGCAAAGGGGATGAACCTCGTTAGCTGCATCCATGTTACCCTCACTCCGAGTAGTAAGTACCCAGTTGACCGAGGGTGTTGGGGAGCAATAATATTATTAGTCTCTTCAGTTGCAAACGGGAAAAAGTCTGAAGAAAGATTACTTCCTTCAAGCAGTTATTTCGCAGGATCTTCATGCTGTACGCAAGTTCATTGCTCCGTTTAGCACCATGTTTGGCAGGTACAACCCGTTATAGTACATTTATGAGTATGACCTCACAAAGTTCATTACTTTTTATGCAGACTTGGTATCAAGGTGTACGGTTGTAGTGGACTTGCCCCGGAAAAACTTAATGGCGGGAAATGGATGGATATGTACCATTCGTGAAACTTAGAGCTACGAAATCGCAACTGTTCATTCTTCTGTTCTGTGTGCACACCGTTATGTTATGCCCTAACGTGCAGAGGGCCTGACGGTAACAACCTTTGGTAATGGAACCGGATTCAGCTACGCGTTTCCAGTGTCCGAATTGGCCGGATTCTCCCCCCTGTCTCTGTTTGGAGTACCGACGGCTTCCTCTGGCGGCGAATTTGAGACGTTCTTCTTCTACCGCGCCTGGGAGGCGATGGGATATCGGGTCATGTTGGCGCAGTTCTGGAATGACGAGCCGCGTCCGTTTCTCCGCATCTACCAGGTAAGTGTGCTATGAAATGTCATGTGTGTCGTATGCTGTTGTCCGCCTGTCCCCTGCCTGTCCGTCCCTCTGTCCCCTGCATGTCCGTCCCTCTGTTCCTCTGCATGCATGCACCACTGTCTGTTTGTCCCTCTGCCAGTTGGTTCCTCTGCATGTATGTATGTCTGTCCCTCTGTCCCTCTGTCCGTGCATCTGTCCATCTGCCTTAAGGCTATCTGTCCCTCCGTCTCTCTGCCGTCTGTTTGTCTGTTCACCTGACCATTAATCCTTCCATACGTCTGTTCTATTCACTCCCCCCCCTATACCCCTATACCCCCTATCCCCCCCCCCCCCCCCCCCAATACGCATCTGATGCCCGGTTCTGTGGTATAGGCCTTATGCACGTTGTACAGATGCACGAAATCCCGTAGAATCCCGTAGACCCGGTTGGGTGTTGAATGTGCAGGACCCTATTGTGTTTATTGCTATTTCCACAGCGAAATGGGCCCTGAAGGCATTTCATACGAACACTTTTTCGACAGTGATCTAGCGAGTCGTTAGTTCAATCCCAAAGTGAAGAAGCTGGAACAGTGATTGTTCGCCGTGAATTATGAGGCTAAATGGGTCAAACACGCATGTATAGCACACAATGAACACCCAACCGGGTATGTGCACACCTACGGCCCTAGTACAGAACTTCGTACATCTGTACAATGTGCATAAGGCCTATTCAGTAAAAAATAAAATAAAATAAATGAAAACCCCTTTAATTATACCCCATACCCCATACCCCATACCCCATACCCCATACCCCATACCCCATACCCCATACCCCATACCCCATACCCCATACCCCATACCCCATACCCCATCCCCTACAGCCCCTTCCCAATACTCCCAATCGCACCCACAACCTCAAAACGGCCACTGCCACTGCCTGTGCCCCTGTATTAAACATGTAGTGGCGTCACCGTTGGCCGGTTCATCGCATCTTTAAGAATTACATGTGTATGCACTTGAAGTGCTAATGTAATAGCCACCGCAATGAGTTACTCTAATTTCAGAAATTTTAGGTGCTCAATATTTTCGGTATGAGGGCAACAGGCCAGGTTAGGTGAACAGAAATTTTCGGTACAGAGAGGCAGTTCCCTATTGGATTGTGTGTGTTAGTGTTTGTTCGGTGTATTGAAATTTTAGGTATGAAACAGACGCACCGAAAGTACCGAAAATAGAAGTACACCGAAAATTTGTAAAATTACAGTATCTTACCGTATTGGCCAGAGTGTAAGCTGCACTGGAGTATAAACCGCACGTTTTTGCCGGTGTTTGCACCACGATGGTTTGTGGCTATTTTGTAAAAAAAAAAAAACATTTTTTTGTCACGAAATACTGACACCCGTCCTGTATCTCACCATTCAAAGACTATTTTGAGTGAATCATGATTGTTTTTAAAAAGTGTGGCTTATACTGCGTACAATATGCTGCATATAATGATGTTGCAGGTGAACGACAGCATTGAGATAACGCGGAGGCTCACAAACGCCGTCCAGACGTGGTCCCGTGATGCCGTGTTCGTTCCCGGCCTGGCTACGGACTTCCAGTACGTCAAGGTGTCGTTGAAGATCGTCAGCGAGGTGTTCTTCACGCAACTCCAGGTGATCGTCACGCAGGAGGGCAAGGAGCCGAGGAGCACGAGCTTCACCAACGTTTCACCTATAAACGTGAGTTGATATATTGCCCTCTGTTCCCAATTGTCAATAACCAAAGAGTGATGAACGGATGTGTTGCGTGTTGCGTCTAAGCTCTTCGGATGCACATCCTACCATCTCCTACTCCGATGGTCAGACGTGACTTCAGTCAAAGTGGTCCCTGTGTCCCATATATGCTGTTGAAATTCTGCTGTTTTAGGGAGGGTGCTGGATTAGAAAATCTGATTTACTGCTGCAATGTGCATGAAAACTGGTCATTTTTGGTTGCTGAAAATTATGCTGGTTTATCAGTAGAGGGTTCTGGTTTGTAAAATGCTGGATTGAAGAGGGACGACTGTATATGCTGCCATTACGTATATAACTTATAAGCATAGCCTTCTCTAAGAGAATGAGTATTGCTGCTATCCCCGTAGGTTACCAAAGTGGAGTTTGGAGAGTTCAATATGAACGATGACCACCGTGTCAGTCGTGATGTTGCCACGGACGTCGTGCTGGATTCATCGTCGTCCCTGAAAGGTCACATCCGTGCAGCCGGTGCGGTGATTAACGGGGAGAATGTCCGCATCATTGACCTGGTGCTGAGCAACCACACAGGTATGTGTGTGTGTATGTGTGTGTATGTGTGTGTGAGTGAGTGTGTGTGTGTGTGTGTGTTGCCAGCTAGTTTGGTTGGTAGGTACACTTATGCCAGATAGTGTTGGGCCTGTTGCCAACGGGCTTGGCTGCTTGAAGGTGTATTGTTGTACCTACCACCTTTGTTGGTTTCAGGGTTCATATACTTTCTATTTGAAGTATACATACCTGTTAACCATGGACTGCTTCTGGCTAGATTAACTCTTGTGTAATCAATGGTGCTAGTGAAGCTTATATCAGATCCACTCTGATTTAGCCACCCACACTAGTACCAAGTATTACCTTCACTGGGGGCAGGGGTACCTGCAGTTGGATCCCGGGACGGATACCCTGATGCCGTCAATCCTTTTTCTGCACCTTGTCCTCACCGACTTACTGAGGTGTGGTGAGCCCATAAGTAGGATCATTTCAAGTCCACCCTAGTTTGGGGATTTCAGGGGGTGTCGGCCGTTGGGTGGTTCAATGGCCAATTGAGTCATCTTTCCAAGATTCCTTTTGAGTCTCTGTCCCCTCTCCCGGGGAGACCCACGTGACCAGTTTTGGCAGTGAGCAAGTACAAGTACATATGTGTGTGTGTGTGTGTGTGTGTGTGTGTGTGTGTGTGTGTGTGTGTGTGTGTGTGTGTGTGTGTGTGTGGGGGGGGGGGGGGGGGTGCCTTGCAAGCTGTTGAATGGTGTAATCCCAGCACAAGTTGCTATGTCTAACATAGCTGTTCGCTATCATCGCTTCCGCGATGGGCAGGTCTGAGGTCTGAGGTGTGTGTGTGTGTGTGTGTGCATGCACGCGCGTAGGGGGAGGGTGTACGTGACTGCGTCAGTGATGCCGGCAATCATATTTCTGGCCTTTCTGCACTTTGTACTCACCCAGGGCCACTCACTGCGGTGTGGTAAACTCATGTGTTGTTTCGCACGTGGGAGCTCACGCTTTCCCTGCCAAATCGACTAGACGCCCGAAGTAGTGGTCATATCCATCCTAGGCTTCGCAAACAATTCCATTCTCTTCTGCTCCGTTTATCCTAGGAACGTTCATGACGGCTTACCCTCACGAGTTGCCGTTCAGCAATTACACGACGGTATTTCACACGGAGCGCCCGTACATGGTCGCCCGACGGGAGCAGGACCTCGAGGAGCTCTCATTCCGCTTCCGAACCCGGCACGCCAAGGACGACGCTGTCCTGTTGAACGCCGGAGTTGTGTTCGTGATGTTGCGCAGCGGCACGCTTCATGTGGTGGTCAAGCGAGGTGTATACGAGACGGAAAGGGAAATGGTGCTGCTGGGTGAGAGGGAAAACGTGAGCGGGCTGGCCGATGGCGAGTGGCATCAGTTTAAGGTAAGTGTGTGTGTGGGAGGGGGGGGGGGGGTGATGGATGAGATGTATAGTTGGGCTCTCGGTGAAATCCGACCCAGAGTGCATATTTGGCGCCTTCAACTTGCATGGCCCTTGATGCCCTGGAAGTGGTGCGAATGCGGCTGGACGTGCATGTGTACAAAGGCAACCATGGAATCGGAACTGGTCCAGGGCACCAGTTTTGCACTTTGTGTCGTATTTCACCGAGCACAACAACAGATGGTGGAGTACTGATAGGATGCATGACATACGCTCATCTGCATTCGTGGCTACTGCATAGGACATGCGTACTCATCCACAGGAGATGTGTCAGTAATTTCCCTTCCCCGAGGCTAGGGTGCAATAGCTGGTGTGATGACAGACTGTATTTGCCACCGATGTAGCGATCTCGTGGGATCCACCGTCCATTGTTCTATTTCTGCTGTTAACGTAGTTTCGATGTACACGCGTACACGTTCCGTGTAACGTCACTTGTGAACTCTGGCTAGGCATGATGCTATCAGTCACAGTGTGACCAATTACCGTGAGAGACTGATGTCGAACATAGGGCTGGTCGTGTGTCGACTGCTGAGAGATCATAAAGTTACATGCTAGCCGTTACATGAGTGTACACTTGGCACTAGATCCTATACCGTATTACATATCATTTGAGAAAGCAAAAGGACATATGGAAACGAGTTGACGAGTTAACGAGTTAAGTTTTCTACTTTTATTATTGGCTCAATACCCGAGTTTCAAATTGCACATGTAATTTTAGGTGTAGTAAAATTTCGGTGCCAGGGACCTGCCAGGTTTCAGGTGTAATGTAGATGTAGGTGACCACTATTTCCGTCACATACAGTGTGTACTCTAGTGCCTTTTAGGTGTAATTTAAATGTAGGTGCCTGTTTTCTCTACCGAAATCACCGAAATTAAAGTTACACCGAAATAAACGTGTTATACAGCATATTAGGCCATCATTTTTTACAGCTATGTTTCGCGTCGTCCGCACGCATACGTTTTGACTTTTTTCGGAAAAAAATAAAAAAATCTAACATGCACAGTGAGTGTACGATCGTGCGAGTCATCAGTGTGGACTGGTTGCGATACGGTGAAGCTGGGATTCAGAAATGGCCTCTAGGCCAGCGTTGGTAAATCGTTTGTTCGGCATCTGGGAGCAATATTCTATGAGCTTACACCAGACCGCATTGATCACCTCAAGCTGAGAGGATGCGTCGTTCCGGAGCTCTTTGCACCGCTGCTGAAGTCTCAGTACAATAATCCAGCGAAGCATGGGCACCAACGGTTGCCTCCTCTGTCCAAAGTGAATATTTACTCATGCTGATAACCCAGATGTTGTGCTTCGATGTACGATTTTCTCTCGAATGTACACCATGCACGAACTATTGTGCTATGTACAGTGCATACACCTCTGATGAGCCTTTTTTTATTATTTTGCAACTTTTTATTTTTTTCCACCTCTCGGATATGACTCTGGAAGTTGAACTGACGCGAAACATAGATATAAAAAATGATGGCCTTACTGTTAACCGGGGAAACGTTCGCACCGGTTTTAGCTCGTGATCTGCGTGCACAGACCAATATGCACCTGGGAGTGTTGGCGATTGGAGTCAATTCCATTAGTTTCGTATATTTTACAGTTCCACGTTTCACGCCGGCATACCTTTCGCGATCTCACACCCATGGTGAAAATCTCAAACGATTCCGAATTGCAAAAGGTTTCCCAACTACAGTGTTATATGTCCTATATACAGTTGCATTGACGCGGTCCGATTAGTCAAAAATAATAGTTCGCTGTTTGGACTACACTCATACCTCCAGTTGTCCGGGCGGTCCAGGACCGTGCACTGCCCTTAACTTTGAAATGTCCGGGAACTACGTATCCCATACATTTTGATCGCGAAAGGCCATAGATATGGCGTATGGCACTCTTTTCGCAAAAAGCGACAAAAGAGTAGTAATATTTCCACTGCAACTCGCCCAAAGGGTGCCCGGTAGACCGAGGTGCCGTTAATTTGGGATCCGGATAACCGAGGTATGAGTAAGTGTATTGAGCACGATGTCAATCTCCGGACAGCTGGCTGCTTCGGCCGTGTTTGATCTCATCAGTGGATATCAGAGTGACTGGTCGAACTGATCGCCAAGGGGACCCGGGGAATAACAAAGCATTTCTAAATCGCCTCAAAGCATCAATGTCAGGGTGCTCTCACTACGATATACTAGGGATGAAACGATCATCAATTTCTTCTTATCGAGTACTGTAAAACCGGAAAGTCTAACGTTTTAACGACCAATTTTTTTCGTTATTTGAAGAAACGTTATTGCGACATGTTTGTGTAAATATGCGCATACAGATGGGTGGCCAGGTAGCCATCGTTAAACTTTCGGCACGTTTAATATCATGCATGCCAAAATTACAATATCGTTTAAAAAAACTGTTTGGTCGTTAAACTTTCCGGTTTTATAGTAACGTTTATAAACGATCGAGTTATCATAAAATGAGTATGCTGGATATGTATGACGTGTCTAAATGATACTGGTCTCCGGGACATGATACATGTAATAGCGCATCACTTGCGTACACAGTGAAATGCAGTGTACTGGTACGCTCGTACATGTACATGTACATGTATGTCACGAATGCGGACTAATGGAATAACACATCTCGGAAGTACTTTGACAACTCGTCTAGAAGTACTGTGACACAGTTCTAGACTCCCAGTGACAATCAAATCCTGCATAGCCAGTTTGTTTTACTGCGGGGGGGGGGGGGGGGGGGGGGCGGCGGGGTTCATCACTAGGAGATACACAAGCAAAATTAAGCTGTCAGACAGAATGTCATCACCTGATTCTGGTGTTTGTGATGGTGGTGCCATGTCTCCCTTGTTTCTTTCCTTTTCCAGTTCACTATCGCAGTTGACATTGGCCATCCGCAATATCGTGCTAACGTGACGATAGAAGACGATATGCCGGTTGTCTCCAAACCGGTTAGTACAAGTAGTGTTCATGTCTTGAAAACTAACTGCACGGGTTCGCATACAGGACGGGTCAAGAACCACCTTTCCGCTTCCGTGGGACGCCACCACCCCATGATCAGGAGTCAGATGCGGCTCCTAAACGGTGAGGGAGGATAGATCAGATCCATCAACCAGAGGCCAAAGGCCGAAGTCCCATTTGCCACATCCATCCATTACTTGAGGGAATGGAAAAGGGAAAAGTCTGAAGAAATATTTGACTGCCACCACCAGGACTCTAACCAGGGACTTTCGTTTGAGGTCGGCGATGCTCTAATCCGACTGAGCTATGGTGTAGTCGTCATCCCAGCAGAAACAGTTAAATGTATTCTTCAGTCTTCGAAACTCCCGCTTCCTGTGGCAATGCGCAGGCTGGTGGGACACAGCCTTTACTGTGCCCATGCATAAGTCGTGTTTTTAGTTCTTGTCAGGTCATGGGGTGTATGTTTGGTGGTTGATACGTACATGCTATGGGTTAACAGTTCTTGTGTGTGTGTGTGTGTGTGTGTGTGTGTGTGCGTGTGTGCGTGTGTGTGTGTGTGTGTGCGTGTGTGTGTGTGTGTGTGTGTGTGTGTGTTCGTGTGTATGTGTGTGTGTGTGTGCGTGTTCGTGTGTATGTGTGTGCGTGTGTGTATGTGTGTGTGTGTGTGTGCGTGCGTGTGTGTGTGCATGTGTGTGTGTGCGTGCGTGCGTGTGTGTGTGTGTGTGTGTGCATGTGTGTGTGTGTGTGTTTGTGTGCGCATGTATGTGTGTTTGTGTGTGTCTGTGTGCACGCGTGCAGGCCCATTTTAGCATCATATTGAGTGTAGATATTTTGGAGGTGCACCTGGGCGGCACACACGCAAACGGCACAAAATACCTGCCCGCGAGCGGTGGTTTCCGAGGGTGTGTGGAGGACTTGTGGGTCAACCGTGATTATAAGGTAATTTTGTATTTTTTGTAATTTTTTGTTTAAGTTAAGGATTCTCCAAAGTATACAAATAATCTACGTGGAGATAAAAGTTTAATAATAGCTATGAAAAGTATGAATGCCGCAGACATCACCACGCAACATGACAATTTGTTCAAGGTTTGGCTTTGTGTGTTTCCAAAATCGATTTTCACGCTCCGATCATCAGTGGAAATACGGAACTAAAGAGATCAAGGGAAAAACAAAGGTTAAAAATCCAAAGAAGTGTGACGAGGATACAGATGACGACGAGGCGGATGACGGCGAGGATACAGATGACGACGAGGCGGGTGATGACGAGGCCGCGGATAACGACGAGGCGGATGACGATGAGACGGCTGGTGGTGATGGTGATAAAACGGACGAGGAGGAGTCAGGTGGCAGGGAAGGTGATGGAGCTGATGAGGGTGAAATTCGTAGGAAGTCAGCTGTGTACTTGCATTTGTTATCTCGTCCCGATTGTTTGAGTGTTTATGATGATTCCCACTTCTCTGTACTGTGTCGTGCCCGTTATGTCCAGCAGTTGAAGGTCCTTGAAGCTGTTTGTATTCGTACGCATAAGCCCGATTTGTGTAAGCAAAACGAACATGTTTTAGCACTGAGGTTATTTTCGTGAGTTTGCACCCCGTGTTCATGAGTTGTTTCTGCACTGCTCATGCCCGGTTGTCACACTTACTCTTTATTTTAGTTCTCACTTTTTGTAATACTTACCACAAGTTACCCGTCATGTGTCACACTTCTTTGGATTTTTAACCTTTGTTTTTTCCCTTGATCTCTTTAGTTCCGTATTTCCACTGATGATCGGAGCGTGAAAATCGATTTTGGAAACACACAAAACCAAACCTTGAACAAATTGTCATGTTGCGTGGTGATGTCTGCGGCATTCATACTTTTCATAGCTATTATTCTCCAAAGTCCTTCGCCTATCGAGGGGGTTTCCAAACTTTCCATAATACCAAATCTGTAAAAGAACTTTAAAGAAGTGATGAGCAATAGATGAGCAAATAAAGAGAAAAAGACATAGTCTAGGGCAGAGCTCTGCGCTTGAGCATGTGATTGTAAGTGTGCAGAACTGGGTTAACTTAATACATGTGAATGATGAAAAGTGTGCCAGAGATGAGCACGGGCAGAGGTTCACTGTGGAGTTCTGTGAGCATTTGAACCAATCAGAGACCTTGTGGGGATGAATGATTGTTCTATTAAAAGCGTGAAACTCTGGGTTGAGATTTTTTGTTCAACTGGATTCTTGTCTGTTTGGATAGATAAATCTAAGAATAAGACCCGGATCAGCCTTAGGGTAGTATTATGTGGTATTCCATTCCTATCACTCCTCAAGAGCGTCGGAACCGCACCGCCCCACTTTTTCGGCCGTTTTTTTATTTTATTTTTTTTATTTTTTTAGCACACTGCAACAAAGCGCGATGATCTCAGCGCAAACGTGGCAAATCCTTGTCCCCGATCGTGGTTTGTTGCAGAATCAAAAGTCCATGTACACTGAAATGGCACCAAATGCCTGGGAATGCTTGCTTCAATTTTTGAATTTTTTCTCGGGGGAGGGTAATGTTTGTCCCCGATCGTAGCATCTTCTTGGTTTTTTGCAGAATCAAAAGGTCTTTCATTGTAGTTACCGTACACTGAAATGGCACCAAATGCCCGGAAATGCTTGCAATTGGCTTTAATTTTTGAAATTTTTTCCCAGGGGAGGACCCCCGCACCCCCCTTCCATGGCCGCCCCACTTCCAAAGTCGTTCCGACGCGCCTGCTCCTATGCTCAAGTTCTGTCCGCGAAGCCAAGAAAGGTGCTTACGAGAAGTCCGGCTTGACCACCCTAATCACCCGTTTTTCTGGTGAAGCTTTCACTTCACCTCGCTAGAAAAGTGATGGCCCTCGTAACTGTTTTGCAACAAGTTACTAGTAAAGCTTGGCCATTGCCGTAGTAGGGTTTGTCCTAACAAGTTGTGACTGTTTGGACTGCTCGTGGGCTCTGGATGGCAGTCGTGGGTCAGACAAGTGTCAACTCAGTCGGCGGGGAAAGCACAGGCTCCAGTGTGGGAGCAAACATCTTCCTTATACGTTTTGACTGTGCTGAGTATATCTTAGTTTCTGCTGTTTGATGTACAGTAAACCTTGTAACTAAAGACCACCGTGACTAGCGACCAGCCTGGTGCTACAGACCACTTTGCCAGGCACGGACAGTCTCACATTCATACATGGTTGTGCGGTGCAAACCTCTAACTAAGGACCACCTGCCACTAAAGACCGCTTTTTCTGGCCCCAAGGGGTGGTCGTTAGTCACAGGTTTTACTATATTTCCAAGGCCCTCAGGCTTCAACAGTGTCATTTCTCACTGCTCTATGTGACATGGTTAGGATCTGTACGCACTGGAAACCCCTGGACTGGTGGACAGCAGCGACATCGATCATTTCTGTCCTAGTTGCACTCCCGTCGACCCGTGCCAGCGAGGTCGGTGCGTGGAGCACATCGACAACAGGACGTACTCCTGCGACTGCTCAGGCACCGGCTATGCTGGTCCGGGGTGCTTGTATGGTAAGGGCATGCGGCTGGTAGCTTTGGTAAGGGCATGTGATTGGTAAGGGGTGCAGGGAGGGAGAAGGGATGCAGGGAGGGAGGGAGGGAGAGATGCAGGGATGCAGGGAAGGAGGGAGGGAGGGATGCAGGGAGGGAGGGAGGGAGGGAGGGGGCAAACAAGCATAGTATACTGTGTGCTGGGTCAGTAGGGTAATTACATACCGTCAGCTGAGTGGACAGTGCAGAGTCACGGTGGCCACATCGAAAATGCTAAGGGATGCGCTGCACAGGAAGGGATGTAGACGATACCCAATGTACACAGTGTAAGGGATTCACTGGTAAACGATGATTATTGCATGGTGGCTCACCTGGATGCTTCTCTGCAGTGACCGTACTGCACTGGAACACAGGTTAACCCAGCGTACTGACAAAGGTCGCTCTTTTAAAGCGGATGTTGTGTTCGGTGCAAGATCACTGTGAGTCAGCCATTTGCCATTTGCTTTGCAAGAGCATACAGTACTCTGAGTTGTATCGGCGTAGATAGTACATGTGCCTGCATTGCGTCTTTTGAAAACACTATTGGGTCACTGCAATAAGATGCCCAAAGGAGCTGTGTACGAGGTATACAATAGTTCCTGCATCAATTTAAGTGGCGTAGGATCAATTCAGGGCAAACTCACTGTAACGCATGCACATTTAACTGGGAAGTTCATCTAACGTCGTAAATCACTGGTGATGTTTTTCGTTAGAATAAATGTGTTAATATTAGGGGTACGAAGTAGTGGTTGCGACTTCGGCGATAATTTGTAAGAAAGGGTTTGCTCCCCACACCGGAGCTCAGCCTACTCAAGCTCAACTGATGAGGGGTGAATTCCCCGAAACACTGTGTATTGAGCAGGAGTGGTGCTTTCTTGCAGGTGTGCCGAGTCGAAGGTTCGATGGACTTCTCGTGTGCTCTGGATGGCAGTCGTGAGTCAGTCAAGTGTCAAGTAAAGTCGGCGGAATAGCGCGAGCTCCGGTGTGGGGAGCAAACCCTTTCTTACAAAATATTAGGGGTGAAACGATTAGTTCGAATATTCGAGTATTTGGTCCAACGACAACTGAGAAAGCGATTTCTCGGAGAAAGAAGCATGGCGAATGTTGCGAAAATTCGTCGCAGAAGATACGGAAGGTACGGAGGGTAAGTGCGCACTACACCTGCACACAGTGCACGTATTTTACCGTCAGTACGACATGTCGACACTCCTTCAAATTCCGGCAAATGCGAGAAAACTCAATAAGCGTGACATGTAGTGCGACAACAAGAGACAACCACTGGACCACTGTTTTGGAAGCTGTATACATCCACACAAAGAAACCCAACCTTTGCAAGCAGAAACAAATCAAATTCACACTTAGGCTGTTAGGTAGGTCGTCAAAACCTCGTTAGTTACATGTATGGCCAGTGGTTGTCTCTTGTTGTCGCACTACATGTCACGCTTATTGAGTTTTCTCGCATTTGCACCTTTGTGTCATTATTGCAATTTTCGCTGTTTACTTTAGCTATCTTCTTTTTTTTGCGCTGTTTTACCACCTTCTTACTGTATTTAATCCACTGTTCCTGTTCCTTTTCCCTTGCCTGTATTTCACCTGACGAGAAGGCTTGAAAGTATACTTGTGAAGACAAAAACTTTCAAGATGTTTGTAATGAGCCTGAAGTGTGTCCTTTTTATGAGTATTATCTTCACTGTATTGGCATTCTATTTTTCAAAAACTCCGGTTGTACCGCTCGTCCACTGGTACGCATGCATAACCATGCATGCCTTTGAGTCAATATTTTATGACTTGGACGATGCGATCACCATGGCAAGTAACGTTAGTTAACGTTCTGAGATATGAAAGTACTGATGAAAATCGTTACTTTACACTCTGTACAAGACGTTGGCGACTTTTGTTCTTTGGTCACAGATAATTTCTTCCGAATTGGTCGAGGACTCACAAATCTAGCGCTATTGAATTTTGATAAAATACTCGAAATAATCGGATACTCGATTGAATATTATGAATGAGTGATCGACTGGTCAAAATAGATACTCGTTTCACCCCTAGTTAATATAATGTTTTTAAGCGGCAACACTGTACGTATTGTGTTGCTTTGGTGTGTGGTTGCACTGCCCAGAGGATGTCACTGCCACACTGTTCAACAACGCAACATCTCACTTGGCTAAAGTCCAGCTGACCGGCGATCAAGCCATCCCCGAGGAGCTCAGCTTCCTCTTCCGCGTCTGGAAAGCCGAGAACGAGGTGCGTGTGCTCACGCAGAATGGCGGTGGCCATGGTGACGGCAGCCCTCTCCTCGTGCTCTCGGTGGACGGCGAAAGTGTGGTGGTGCGTGTACAATCGCCGCACAGCGTCCTCACCACGCACTATTTACCTTTCCCGGCCGTGAGGCGTGCGTTTAAATACATACCCGTATCTATAAGGTACTCGTCAACGGCATCAGTGCAGAATGCCGACGAACAACAGCCACTACCAGCCACCGGTGGAAGGGTGGAGATCACCATTGGGCGCGGTGCCGCTCAAACGTCACTTGAGTTGATCGTGGGTAGTCTCAGAACCGACACGATCACGTTCGGAACACGCGACGAGTACACGAGCGCGCCTATCAAGGGCTTTCAGGGCCATCTGCGCGCCATGCACTATAACGGACGCAGCCTCTTCCCAGCAAGCCTCGAAACGGACAAGCAGCGTTCCTTGGTCAATGGTGCACTTCTGGAGCTGCCATTCGATGAGTACTTGGTCAACTTTAAAACGCCTGACGTCTACAAGGTACTAAATGTCTTGCTGCCAGTCACTGATTTGAGCTTTAGCATGCGTAGTACCGGAGAGAGTGCTGTGGTGGTTGACATCAATGGTGGCGATGCTGGGTCCGTCACATTGATCTACGAGAACGACGCCTACCAGCTGATGATAACGAGTGCAAGAGAGAACGCCTCGTCGCCAGTCGACCGGATGCGTTCTGTTCCCTTACTCCCCACACCACGCGAGTCGCAGCGGACGGTGGAGCGTGCTGGCGTACTGCGCAATACATGGACTCGCGTCGAGGTGGTCATAGGCTCTACAGTGGAGGCGACGGCACTCGACCCGGATGGTGTTTCTGCGTCTGGTTCCCTGCCCTTTCAAGCTACACTCGGCGTGTCGGTAAGCATTTACATGGGCATGTCTGTAAGTATTGACATGGGTATGTGCGTAAGCGTTGACATACGAGGCATACTGATATGCAGACACGGGTATGTCTGTATGCACACGGGTATGTCTCCATTGGGTATGTTTGTAAGCATTACATTTTGCACGGGTATGTCTGTACGCATTGGTATGGGCATGCCCGTAAGAATTCACATACGAGGTGCTCTGATTTAAGAAATATTCGGTGCTCAAAATTTTAGGTACGAGGCCAAAAGACCATGTTAGGTGAGCGGAAATTGTAGGTACAGAGAAGCAGTTCCCTATTGGATGATCGCGTGGGTGTGTGTCTGTGCAGCTATTGGAATTTTATGCATGAAAGAGCAGTACCGAAAATGTTGAAAATAGAAGTACACCGAAAATTTCTGAAATTACCGTAGGCCAGTCAGCATTGGCATAATTATGAGGTATGCGAGGTTGGTCACCGCACATTGCTTTCAGTCTCAATTTTCGGCTCTCCCGGCGTTGTTGTCTGGGAATGAGAAGTGCTCAGAGGTATGATGAGCCATCAAGAACATTGCAGAGAGACACAAAACACATGGTCAATATGTATACGCCATCTCCAGACAGCTAGTGGTCTCAACCTTCTTTTAGTCTTGTCAATTGCGTCCAGGGGATTGGATGAACTGATCACCGTGAAGTCTTGCGAAAAGCGGAGCATTCTCAGAGCCACATGAGCAAAATCCGAATGCTCTGACTGCGAGAAACGCAGCGAGCTTGGCGGATAGGCATAATGCGTGGGCACAAACGAGACTGAGGAGAGCTCAGCCCAGACTGTGTTTAAGAGAGCACAATGCTCAATAATTATGATAATAGAAAACAGTGATCAGTGGCATAGCACCCGCTTCGACTGGTACTCCCATGGCCGTACCACTTTTCGAAAAGTTTGGTCCGTCTGGAACATGCAAAACCGTAATAAAAAAATCGGGACCCGTCAGATCTTTGACTTTTGTTAGAGTTTGACTCATATCCGACTCGACACGGCTAATAGGTGCACTTGGCTCACAGCACCTTAGTGTTCTGCACGTGAACGATAACATTCTATGACTAAAAATTAGTACAAATGTGCCAATAGTACCCAGAACACAGGATTTTGTGTCTTTTTTACAAAGTTTTCCCCGGGGAAGGACCTCGATCCCCCCCCCCCCCCCCCCTTCACAACCCGCTGCGTCCCTTGGTCGTACCAGTTCCCAAGTCCCTGATCACAATCTACTATAGCCTTCGATAAGTAGCAACACAGATTCCAACTCCCATGAAGTCTTGTGAGCAGCACGGCATGAAAGTATGCTAGTGAGAACTGTCAAGCCTGAAGTCTGGCCTTTTTCTCAGTGTTATTGCTGGAGAATCGTCGCTCAAAACGCTAGGTACAGAGCGTTTCACTTATCCTGTATCACCAATGTGTGCGTTTGTCTTGTAATTATAGAAATTCCGGACGATGACCATCGGTGGAGCTAGCCCGGAGCGTTTACGTGAGATTGGCTTGGTTCAAGCCGGCCTGGTCGGTTGCATCAAGGAGGTAGGCCCAGGTGTTAATTTCGTTGGTGTGTGTGTCTGTATCAGTGGATTAGGCATGCACTGTTGTGCATACTCATTTGCAGAATTTCACCTGACTGTACGTCATGGGTCTCTTGTAACCTAGTGATAATGCACGACGTCTATGGGGTGTTTGGCGTCTATGGGGTGTTTGGTGTCATGGGGTGTATGGGACTTGCTGTAGTACGGGGTGTGAGGTCTATGGGGCTTGTGTGGGGCGTGTGGGGTCTATGGTGTTTATGAGGCTTATGGAGCTTATGGGATCTATGGGGCGTATGGGGTCTATCGGGTATAAAGAGTATATGGTGGTATATGGGTGTGTGGGTATATGGGTCTGTGGGGTGTATGATGCTTATGGGGTCTATTGGGTGCATTTCATGTACGGGATCTATGTGATTGGTGGGACTGCTAAGCCTGGATAGATTATCTGAAGAACTGCTGGAGTGTAAAATCCGCTTAATCCGTTTTAGTCGATTTCGGGATGACTCCAGTCCAGATCCGAATAAGTTCATTCTTGGGTATACAGGTATTCAACTTATGCTCTTGGTAATGGGAAACTGCTGTTTGTCTTTGTGGTATACTTCAGCTGTGGGTGAATCATGATTACGTCGACCTACCCGACACGACTACACGACACGGAGGTGCAGATCTCACGACGGTTACGACGGACGCAAGTCCCACCGACCTGACCAGCGGCGTATGCACAGGGTGCCAGCCTCAGTCGTTGTGCCACAACGGTGGCGTGTGCCTGGCCGAAACGTCCGGGGACGAGTTCCAGTGCCTCTGCAACGAGACAGGCTTCGTCGGGCAACTCTGCGACATCGGTGAGTGTTTTCCTTGCTGTTGTTTCAAGGACGGGTACCATACTTTATGGGGTATAAAGAAATTGCATGGGTTCAAAGTACAGGATGGCTCAAGACCCACCTTTCCGCTTCCGTGAGATTGTAGTATCTAATAAAAAATCACGGTTCGCGTGACACTCGGCTGGAGGCCGAGTGTTCCGCATCCGCAGGAACGCTACCACCCTTCAAGGATCAAGGTGCAGATGCAGCTGCTAAAGCGGAGTATAAGCCGCACTCTAAACACAGTCATAATTCACCCGGGAAAAAAAAGTCGTCACACTGCTGCTTATACACTACAATGGTCGAATGATATTATGACCAGTCACCACCACTACACAAAAGTTGTTGACGCTGAAAAATTTATTCAAAACTCTGCACTCACATCACCATCACCACAGCGAGGACAAATCCGGTGTATAATTGATATGAATAATGTCATAATATCAATTGATATGAATAATATAATTATAATATGAATTGGCTGCAGTGGAACCTCCGTGTTCTAAGAAAAAAAGAAGATCAAATGAACTGTTAAATACAGGGTAGATGTCTGTATTTCCTTTAGGAACACTCTGGGTGCGCGGTATACTCTGGAAAATACGGTGTAAATTAAAAAAAATTAAAAAATTCAAATTCAAGCACACCACAAATAGCATCACTGAGTGTGCTGTACACGACGGTAGAACTCGAATAAGACTAGCACCCTATACGGGTAGAAGGGAAGCCTTGTACGTAGTATTCGAGCTACTTCTTATCCTGGTACATGTAGTGACATTCCTCCTCTGTATGGATCACTCAGAGCTATATTCGAGAAAACCACCAAATTTTGATCAGTCACCAGCACTAGACAAAGGTCGTTGACGCTGCAAATTCAAAAACTCTGCACTCACATCACCATCACCACAGCGAGGACAATTCCTCGAGCGAGGACTGATCGTAATATGAATTGGCTGCAGTGGAGCCTCCGTGTTCTAAAAAAACCCACAAATTGTGATACAAAAATTGTCAAAAAACCAAGCGGAATAAAATAAATGAAATAGTTACCAAAATCCAGTAAAGGATTTTCCACCCGCATTCCTTCCAGTAAAAGAACCGATAAAAAAATGTGCCGCGCCAATCAGTCTGGATCACTGCATCCGTGCTCCGTACAATGTCCGTACTAGGCAGGCGCATGTCTTACCCAGTGTCTGCACTACAAGCGAGTTCCACTGTACATGCAGTAGTTGCTAGGAATGCTGTCATTGTTGTCGTTGGCATCGTTCGCTGGTGTTTTTTTGGGTTTTTTTTTACTTCACCAGAGTGAACAGGCATTGCTGCCTTCTTGCCTGGATAAATAAATTGTCCAAAGCGCTAACAAAATGACAAAGAAAGGAAAAATATATTACCTGAGAGTGTTAAGCATGCAACAATTTGATAGGAGAGAGAGAAAGAGAGAGGGGAGAGAGAGAGAGAGAGAGAGAGAGAGAGAGAGAGAGAGAGAGAGAGAGAGAGAGAGAGAGAGAGAGAGAGAGAGAGAGAGAGAGAGAAAGAGAGATGGTTGCCATCGTTGCTGTGCAGTGAACGGTTTCGAAAACAATAACTATGACAAACCAGCCAATGAGAACACAGCACTGTTTGCGTATGGATCTCGTGCACCAGCTATTCTTCTTTTGCTCAGTCTGGCTGAGGGTATGTTTTATTGGTGGATCTGGGTCTACATCAACCGGATCCACTGGAGTCGAACCCTTTCGATTGGTCGAATCCGGATTCGGATCCGGCCAACCCACCTCGGGGCGCAGGGTTGACCGAATCCAACGGATCCTTTCTGCCAATCAACCTTTTTTGGCACGAAACTCCACATTTGTTCGATCGGACCTTGGAGGATGCGAATGATCCAGGCAATCGATCGGGATCCGGATCCAACCAATTGAACACACCCTGAGTGAAATTGTTTCTGCATGACCTTTGTTGGCTGAACGAAGGTTCTCGGCAATGGTACATGTTTTGAGTTCGAATACATGTAATTACTTGCGGGCCTAACACGTGTATATTTAAATCTCCTGTGATTGAATGCAGTTCCGACATCTCCACCACCAACAACACCAACTACCACACCAACAACACCAACTACCACACCAACAACACCAACTACCACACCAACAACACCAACTACCACACCAACAACACCAACTACCACACCAACTACACCAACTACCACACCAACAAGCGCCACGCCAACCAGCGTCATGCCAACAACACCGCAGCGGCCAGTCAAAACCAGCGACGCACCGCCTGCAGATGTGACCAAGAAGCTACCGCCGTCCGACCCTCCCCTCCCCACCATTGGCGAGTCTATCAAGAAGGTCGAAGGAGATGCTGATCTCTCTCTTCTCTGGATGCTGCTGTTGCTCATTCCCGGTCTGATACTGCTGGCGGCCATTATTGTCTGGGCCATTTACAAATATCGACGTCGCTATACTGGCAAGTTTATTATCAACGAGCAGATATCACCGCGGAAGAGGATTTTCTAACGCAAAACAGTATCCCATTGGTCCTACTAGAGTCTTGCTTGATTCTCGCCTTCATCGAACACGTTTATCAGGGTGTAGTATTTGAAAGTGGTATTTTATTTTTATAACTTTACTTCTCCCTGCTCTTTTCGTGTAGTGGTGACGAACTGACAACGCACTGCTCAACGGTGCTGCTGCTTAGGAATCATTATAGAACACATGTTGTGCTGCTGCCTGATGATCGCTTCGTGCGTGAAACTTTGAGTTGCAGCAAATTATTATTATTCATCCTCTTTGGTCGCCCCCGTCACAATTGGTTCACCAATATGAAAGACTGGACCAACGAATCTTGCAATTCTCTCTCTCTCTCTCTCTCTCTCTCTCTCTCTCTCTCTCTCTCTCTCTCTCTCTCTCTCTCTCTCTCTCTCTCTCTCTCTCTCTCTCTCTCTCTCTCTCTCTCTCTCTCTCTCTCTCTCTCTCTCTCTCTCTCTCTCTCTCTCTCTCTCTCTCTCTCTCTCTCTCTCTCTCTCTCTCTCTCTCTCTCTCTCTCTCTCTCTCTCTCTCTCTCTCTCTCTCGTTGCTGCTGATCGTGATAGGTATAGGCAGCTTGTTTATCAGTGTCGTTAGGTTTTTTTAGTTTTTATTTTAAATATTTATTATTTTTTTATGCTGCTGCCTTATGACACACATGACGCCCCTACGACCAGAATGGTTATGGGTTATACATACATACATACATACATACATACATACATACATACATACATACATACATGCATACATACATACATACATACATACATACATACATACATACATACTCAATCTGCGGACAGCATGCTGTTTCGTTCTTTTTGAACTCGTCAGCGCAGCACATACATACATACATACATACATACATCCTCTTCAAAGTCATCTTGTCCTAAGTAGATCTACCCTTGTATTGGGCATTCGCCATTGAGCACTCTTTTGGGACAGCCTGCAGCCTTTCTGCGTATGGATTGTGATGCTATGATGCAATGTCGTACAACTTTAGCTCTTCTGTGTATGCCGCACACATGCATCTTTTTGAGAGTCTTCTCTGTCGTTTTCCAGATTGAATCGTTTTCCGTTTTCTACTTCGGGTATTCTAATAAACTACCTGTCTCTTGACAACCAAAGAACCTAACATGGCGGCGCAGTGAACCATACACAGCCGCTGTTCTGATTTTCTGCAGTCTGACTGAACCTCGCGCGAGCCGTAAAAAAAAGTTCGACGCGAAATTCGTCAGCGGCTGCATGATAGGCCTTTGCGGATAATGCTGGCAGAAAAATTGGCAGAATTCGGTACTTTTTCTGGTAAGTTTCATGCATGTTTGGTATGTGGATAAAGAAATAGAGCAGAATTCGAGGAATTGCCCGCCATAATGTTTGTATGGTTCTGCCAATTTCACTGCTTTTCGAGCATTATCCGCCAATGCCTACTGTATGACGGTTCTCGGCAGTGGTATAGACCGCATTTTCGGCAGTGCTGGGCTGCTGGCTGAGGAACTAAGTATGTTTGCGAGCACTAAATTTCATCCCAATTTGAATAAAAATCTGCACAAAATTCCTGGAATGAAGTGGCGCTTATTTTAGGTAGGCGCGGTAATAACTCTTGAAAGACCGGCCCCAATTCCAAAAGATACGGTATGTGTTCTCACGAGCCATCTCTGTACAAGTGCTACAGCAATGATTAGTCTCCTATTCCTGAACATCTTCTCACTTTTGAAAAAAACAAAACTTTTGTGATTCTCTGCAGTTCCGATATTTCCACCACCAACAACACCCAACTACTGAAAAAGCAGAAATTTTCGGTGGTGTAATATTTTCGGTATTTCCCAAAATCGGCGGTTCGGTAGAGGGAAATTTTCGGTAAAACCCGTTTTCCAGGTAAGTGTACTAGTACTGCACGTATACAGTACCGGTTGTACCGAAATTTTCGGTGCGTTTTATTTTCGGTAGAAATTGTCGGCACCGAAGTTACCGAAAATAAAACACCACCGAAAATTTCTGCTTTTACAGTACTATAAAAGCCATTATTCTAACGAGGCGCATATATAACGATTTCCCAAAATTGACTTTTCTTAATTTTAGCTTGGGGTGGGAGAAGCACAGGCATAACATAATCCCAGAAGAGGCTAGTCTAGAGGCGGTCGGTTGCCTAATCCCAGTCAGACCGTAGGCTGCCACAGGTGGTCATAAACCTTCTTCTTGAAGGTTTGCATTGACTTCTGAGAGGGGCGAGCACTGAGAATAGAGCCGCGGCTGGGAGGCAATTCCAGGTCTCAATCATGCATTGGGGGAAGGACCGAAGGACATTGTTCCGAGACTGAGATGGGACAGTCTTGGTCAGCTGGAACGGGTGCGGAGCTGGCGGGGGTAGGAGGACTGTGATTATGGCAGGGCCAGTCAGGTAGTGGAGCTTGAACAGGTAGCAGAGCCGGCAGCAACAGTGCGACGGATGTCCAGGCTGGCAAGGTAGCAGCCATCGTCGATGACATGGAGTGCCCTATGCTGGATGGCTGTGAGCTTGGCTAGTATGGAGGGTGTTGCGCTCATCCATACCAGCATCCCATATTCCAAGATCGGCCGAACAAACCCACGGTACACTACGGCATGGCATCTCGAGTTGAGAGCCATGGCATCCTTGCAGAAGAAGCTGAGTCGCTGCGCACCGCGTATTGCGAGGGACCGTATGTGCTGCTTGAAACACACCTGGCTGTCGAATGTTACTCCTAGGAGACGGAGCTGATCCACCTCCGGAACATCTGTCCACTGGAATGTGATAGAGGGAACTGGGTTGTGAGATCGTCGGTGGGTGATCGTGAGGGCTTGCGACTTTGTCGGCTCAAACCTGACCCGCCAGAGGGTGCCCCAGTCGGCAAGTGCATCAACAGCCTGCTGGAGCGTTGCGACTCCATCTGGGATATTGGCTCGGGTTGTGATGCACTTATCCGTGGTGTCGCCGGGCGACGCCGGCATATGCTGCGAGCTTAGCCTCTTCAGGTCAGTGGTCCTCTGCATTGTTGATGACCTGCGCCAGGCTGCGGCACCCCTGACTGGATATCACGGGTAGTGGAGGCCTGGCCACCTATGACAACTTTGATCTTGCGGCTAGTGAGATAGCTCTGCAGCCAACAGAGCAGGGACCCGTTGACACCGTATTGCTCTGCCTTGTGAAGGACTCCTGGGTGTGAGACCTTGTCGAAGGCCCCAGCGATGTCCACTGCGAGCACCCTGACAAGGCCTCCCTGAGCAACTGTCGGGTGCCAGTCATGCTGGAGTACGATCCGAAGATCTGATGTGCCAAGTCCGGCACGGAAGCCGAATTGCCCCCCCCCCCCCCCCATTTAGCACGAACAGGGTGGGTCGCGGCGTTCAGCAGTTTGAATTAGGTCCGGCCATGGCCTGCCACCGGCTGGACCGGGTGTCACAGCCCTGTCCAGCCATAGTGACCGTCATAGTGCATGATGTCAATCTCCGACTCAGTAATTCCTGGAGCTCAGGGGAAGTATAACCGAGTCCCTAGCTGCTAACCGCGACTAGCCCAAGATACATTTGTATGAGTCCAAGCCGTATTGGATCCCTCCTATAAAATTAATGATTTCAAAATGCGGGCCTTGGATTAGGGGTAATTAACTACACACCTGCTTATGCCGGCCCGGCTCGACACCTTCCGCTCCGTCTTGTTCAACATTCCACACTCAGTCCACCTAGCTTCTGGAAGATCGTTGATTGGCTCGATCTATGGCAACAGTCACATGGCAAACGATATCATTTTTTTAAGTCAACCGTGAGGGAGTACGAGTGCGAGGGACTGAGTACTGAAAAATCGTTTTTTTTATACAGACAATGTACTAGTACTATGCTCCCTCTCTACTTTGTACTTGTAGGCCCTGCTGGCATGCTTTACCAATAATAGGCAACAGTACAAAGCAGTACAGAGTATGCATCAGGGAGCCGTAAAAAATACTGCCTCAGTGACGCGAATTATGCATGACCCGTCGACTGGTCGACGTGCGCGTGCTCGGTCATGTACATGTACGCCATAATGTATGTAATCAAGCACGCTCAGCTCAGGAGGTCATGATGGCACGGCCGGGCCTTGTATATTGGGCATGCAGCGCAGGCAAGGGCAAGATTCAGCCATCATGACCTCCTGAGCGTGCTTGATTTGATTTCTTACAGCGAGAAGCAACATATTAGGGAAGGTCAGAGGGGGAAAGGTCGAAGGTCGAAAAATTATTCCCGAAATGACGTCAAACGGTCCTGAAACTCCCGAAATGACGTCAAACGGTCCTGAATCCTGATGGCCTGATTATGCCCGCGGCGCGTCAGGCCAGGCGAAATTACTGGTCAGTCGGCGACACGCATTTTTCACAAAAATTTGCGTTTCACCTGCTGGGAGAGTATGCGTGTACATGTACTCGAGTCTCATCGTGTGGCAGGGGAGTGTATTCTGTCCCAAGAAGGCACAACCCAGGGGGACCCCCTGGCGATGCCTTTCTATGCCCTCGGCATCCTCCCACTTGTGAGAGCGGTAGCAACCCCGGACACCTGCCAGCTATGGTACGCGGACGATTCATCTGCAGGTGGTCGTCTGGTAGCAATTCGATCGTGGTGGGACAAGCTGCAGGCTGAAGGTCCGTCCTACGGATATCACCTCAATGCCCGGAAGTCTGTGCTTGTGGTCAAGCCACATGCCTACGATGACGCTGCGCGCCTCTTCGCTGATACTGGCATCCAAGTAACATCTGACGGCAACCGCTACCTGGGTTCCGCTATTGGCACGCCCGACTACATCCACGGGTTCATCCAGGAGAAGGCCAATGAATGGTGCAAGCAGATTGAGACACTCTCATCCTTCGCTCGTACCCAGCCCCAGGCAGCGTACACTACTTTTGTTCGTGCTCTCTCATGCCGCTGGACATTCTTGTGTCGTGTTCTGCCGGATGCGTCCAGTGGTCTTGATCAGTTGGAACACGCCATTTTTACCAAGCTGCTGCCAGCCCTGACTGGAGAAGACGTCAGTCTGGAGCTGCGACGGCTGTTTGCCTTCCCTTGCCGGGATGGTGGCCTGGGCATCGTCAATCCAACATCTCTAACAACCCAATACGCCTCATCCCGCGCGATCACAGCGGCGCTCACCACCAACATCCTCGACCAAGACTTCAGTGTGACGGAAGCTCTTGCCAGCGTTGCCTCAGCCAAAGCGTCACAGCGTGCAGATCACCGCCAGAAAGCGAAGACCGACATCCGTGGCTTCGCTGCCGACGCATCGCCCACTTTGCAGCACACAATTCAGTTGGCAAGTGAGCCTGGCGCCTCCAGCTGGCTTACTTGTCGTCCGCTATCCCGTCATGGATTTGTGCTATCCAAAAGCGAGTTCCGCGATGGTTTGGCACTGCGCTATGGCTGGCGGCCTTCTCGCTTACCGTCAACCTGTGTCTGTGGAGCCAGCTTCACAGTAGCCCATGCCCTGACATGCAGCACCGGAGGTTTCCCGTCACTTCGACACAATGAGGTGCGGGACATCACTGCCTCGCTATTGAAACGTGTCGCCAATGGTGTCGCTATCGAGCCACACTTACAACCGCTCTCTGGTGAGCAGCTCCGCTACAAGACTGCCTCCACAGAAGACCAGGCTCGACTTGATGTTGCGGCGAGTGGTGTTTGGGGAGGTCGGTTTGAGAGAGTCTTTCTCGATATTCGGGTTTTCAACCCCTTTGCTCCCTCAAATCAATCCTCTTCCATCACCGCTTGCTACCAGCGTCATGAACGTGAAAAACGGAGGCGATACGAACAGCGCGTCAAGGAGGTCGAGCGTGGAACCTTCATCCCTGTGGTTTTCGCTGCAACTGGTGGTACTGGTCGAGCTGCTGCCGCTCTCCTCAAGAGAATAGCTGCAATGGTCTCCGACAAATCTGGTGAGCCATACTCTGCAGTGATGGCATGGATCCGCTGCAGGTTCAGCTTCGCCCTTCTCCGTGCAGGCGTAGCTTGCCTGCGTGGTGCACGACGGCTGTATTCGCACCCGGAGGTGGCTGAGTCATCCGCTCGACTCGCTGTCTCGGAAGCTGCCATACAGCACTAGACACTTGTT